TCGGAGGCCTTGAGTCCCCAGCATCACGGAAACAAGGCCTTCCAGAGGCCAAGGAAATCCTGAAGGTCATTCATTTACGAGTAGGCTGTGCCTTGGGATTATCCCGCCTGGAACTGCTCCTGCTGCCTTAAAAATAATTAATGGGGCTCCCTCACAGCCCAGCAGCCTTGCAAGCGGCGTGCCACGACGGGGGCTGAGGCAGGCACGGAGCCCCAGCAAACCTCTCCCTGAGCACAGGCGGGTTCAGCAGGGCCCTGGGGAATACAAGGAGGTCCCCGAGGAGGTTTGGGACCCCCGGCTGTGCCTCCCCATCCCACACGGCCCCAGCTCTGCTCCAAGAAGAGCTCCGATCCCTTCGGAGGCCGGACTGCAGGAAGGTGCAATCGATGGCTCAGCTTATCAGGGGGTATTTCTTGAGCAAGATCTAACCTTGACGAGGCAGTCCCTGGTTATAAACGCTACCTTTGATCGATAACTGTCACAAGGGCATTAGAATTAATCAGTTAAAGCTGGTAATTTAAGCAGCATTTATTGCTTCCTGCACAGCTGTATCTCCTCCTCACCCCAACAACAACAAAAAAAATACCCAATGCCCATTAATAAACCTCTCCAAGGCTCTCCGAAACAGGTCATTGACCGAGGAGCCCTCGGCTCCCCTCGCCTGCTGAGCAGGCGGCTCTGTGAGGGCAGGGGACGGGAAGAAAGGGCCAGGTAGTGCCGGGGAGCAGGGATCCCCCACTGAAACCATCCACTCTTAAAGAGGAAAAAATTAGATTTAAAAATAAAATCTGATAACGGGGCTGGAAGGAGAGCTCCTGCCAGCAATTTTGCCCTTCTCTGCAAGTATATAAATGCATGAAATTAAATTTTACTAAAATCCAGCTGGTGCAACTCATGCAGTCAGGAGCACAACGCGACGTCCTGCAGCCAGGGGGATCGCCAAAGCCTGGGTTTTCCACGAGGATCACATCACCAGGCGTCGTCTGCCAGCTCCTCAGAAACAGCACGCTGCTTCGAGACCCCTCTCCTTGCACAAAGCCCTCTCCCACCACTAACAACAAACCCTCGGAGGCTGGGAGACCCCTCACACAAGGAGGCAAGGCAGCACCCGATGGGATTTCCTTGGAAAACGAGGCCACAGAGCGGCACGCGGCCCGACGGCACGAGGGATTTCCTTCCCGTGGCACCGCTCCTTGCTGCCTGCTGCCACAAGCTCTCCTCGCAGGGTCACCTCAAACCTTCCTGAGCTCCAAAAGTGATGGAGAGTGTCCAAAGCTCCTCGTGAGCTTCACCCACACAGGTGAAGAAAACGGCAAACTAAAACTTCTAAAACTTAACTGGAAACTGAAGCCCAGGAAGCCTCCTGCACGCTCGAACCCAAGGGATGGGTGACAGGGACCTGTGATTGTGGTGGGGGGGCGGGTGGCTGCCACCAGAGCTTGGCCTTATAGGCTACAAAAAACCCTCTTTGCTAATTCAGTGAAGCTCACTCCTGACTTGAAACACACGCGGACATCCAAAGAGCAGAAAACACTCGGGAAGAGCAGATGCCAAAACGTATTCGACAGCTGCTGGCACCTCCGGGCTTCTCACTTAGAGCAAGCTTTCAACCCAAATTATCTTCTGGCATGCCAGAGTAAAACAAAGCCATTTTAATTATATTTGGTCCCTCTACGCCTGACGACAGCACACGAGGCACTGTCGGGCAGCCCCCAAGCTGCCAGGGGGGCACAAGGAGCCAGGAGCAAGGCTGCAGGAGGCTCAGCACCGGGCTGTAAATGCTCGGTCACAGCCACACACGACCACAGAGGGGACACCTGGCTGCCAGGGCGAGCTCTTGCCATGCCCACACCTATGATGATGTGCCAGAAGAAAAGTCAAAGCCAGCTCCAAGAGGAGAGGACACGGCGCACCACCGCGGTCGGCTGGAGCTGCAGCTCAGCCATCATCATGTGTGGGAAGGGAAAAGGAGAAAATCCTGCAGCTTTGGTGAGCCGCTACCATTTGTATTTCAGAATTCAAATCAAGAGCCCTGGACTCGTGGCACAGGCTCAACACCAAAACCACAACTCTGCAATTCCCTCGTTATCGTGCCTCCAGCCCTTATCTGATTTTCCAAGAGATTAAGAAATCTTGACATCATATTTATTGCCCGAGTTAAACTCCTCACAAGACAATGTCCTCTTTCGGTCGTTTACTTTAGGTTATAAAACCACCACAGAGTGCTTCCAGCTACCTTGCCTTAAAATGGATGACTCCAGTGCCTGCCACTAACAAAATACAGGCTTCGTGCTACAAAGCGAGCACTGTAACACTGTTTTTAAACTCTGCTGTTTGCTCTATTTCCATCTCCAGATGCCTCGATTTGTTTTTTGGGTTCACTTCTCTGCACATCACCATTCACAGTGGTATTTAGCGAATTATTTGATTTTAATAGAGCGAAAAGATTTGTCCTGCAGCCACCTCTGCCAAGATGCTCCAACCTCTCCTTTGCCCACATCCCCTCTCTACCCGAACAAGGACTCAGAAAATCGAACAGCAGAGGTGGCAGTGGGCATTTTGTGGGTAGAGCTGGCTATAGGACAGCTGAGCACCCCAAGGACAGGCCGGCAGCCTGAACCTTCCCGTTCCCCTCCGAGCACAGTGCCCCATCAGGACAGCTTCCTACAGCCACGTCCAAAGTCCCAAGTCCCAGTGCGAGCTCAATAGTCTACGGCCTGAATATCTTTGAGGAAAAAAGGAAATAAAAGGTGAAGCTCCTGGAGGAAAGCTTGGTTACCGTGCAGAAGTCTGCCCCAAAGGCGTGGCAGGACGCAGCAGGCAGCCTCTGCCCCGGCACAGGCACCGGTCCGAGGGATGGACCCGATCCCAGAGCGACCTTGGGCCACTCCGAGCTCCACCACCTTCCCTTCCCCGGGCGAGCAGCATCTCTGGGACTTTCTTCCTCTTTAAGGAAACATGCTTGACAATAAATAAAACCAGAATAGCAACAGAGCAAAACACAGTCCAGACACCTACCAAAACAAACGGCTGTGCGCTGCAAACACAGTTTGGTCCTCAGAGAGCCTGGGAGAAAGAACCAAGCAGGGACAAACATTGGCAGTGTTGTTTAACTCAAGTTTCTGAAGGGTGACAGTAACAAGAGCCGTGGAGACAGCGAGCACTCGGCACCGCAGCAGCCCGGGCAGATCGCCTGCTGCATGGCCATGTTGTGTGCGGACCCAAATACAGAGGCAAGGCCCTTAGAAGAGCCCCCTTGTCTCAAATATAAACCATGTTTTTGCCAGGGAAGCATCAGAAAGGAAGGTTTTCGGAACACGTCTGGAGTACAGCAGGATAAAGCAACTTTCATTGATTTTCATCAAGTTTCTTTGGGGTCTCTTGAAATGTTTCCCTTAGATTTGAATGCCCAAACCAGGCTGGGAAATGAGGGAAGCAGAGAAGAGGCACACAGCGAAGTTGCCCATTTGAGGCCAGACCCTCAGCCTCCCCACACACGGAGTGGGGGCTCCTGAGGACCCCCAGCAGGAGGGAGAACGGGGCTGCTCAGCCCCATGGAAGCAATTAACGGGGTATTGGGAACAGGGAGACACTGCAAATGGCTCGTGAGAGGGGAACGGGATGCAGCAGCATCCTTCACCAGCCTCCACAAGGCTACAGCAGGGTATGAACGGGCAGGAGCTCTGTAAGGCACAGCACCAAGGCACTGGGAAAGCCCAAGCAGAAGCAAGCCCCAAAGGCCAGTTAAATCAGTTATACCGGCCGGTTTTCTGCCCTCTGCAAGCGGCATCCTTCTGACTGATGGTGAAGAAGGGGAAAAGTTTTGTTTCTTCCGAGCTTCCCCTTTTTTAACCCCGCTCCTCAGCAGCACCAACGCCAACTTTGTTCCCAGGGGTTTTTGCACGATTTATTGGCGGTGTGGTCAGCAGTGCCCTGAGTCCTTATCGCCCTTGCTAAGGGAATAAAAGCAGGGGATGTTCGGAAAGATCGCCCGCGCTGTCAGCAGGCTGCGAGGCTTTGTGCTGACTCCGGCTTTTCTCCTCCCGCAGAGGCTCAGCTTTCGCTCCCATGGTCTCATCCAGCTCCACATCAGTTAAGATCTGAGTTTCCCACGTAACGCAAACAATCAAAAAGGAAAAAAAACAAACAAAAAACAACAATACTCGGCACTTTCTTACACCATATGAAGTAGGAGAACGAAACGGGAGCTGGGCTCGCTTGCCTTGCTGCCCATATTGTCCTGCACCTGCTGGGGAAGGCAAACCCCCGATGCTGTGCCCATGGGCGCAGTGACACCGGCTCGCGGCTGTCCCACCCAGATTCGGGAGGTGCTGCTAGGAAAGTCCCCAGAGGCTGCAAACGGGGGGATCTCGGCCTTGCTGAGAGAGAAGCGAGGTTTCGCTGGGCTGCTGTGAGGTGCAGCCAGACACAAGCCGGGGACACCACGGGAGCTGTTGCTTTCGCACACCTTTATTCCTAAACCAGCGTGGGGAGGTTTCAGACTTAGTTGTGGGGATGTTTGGAGTAGGGAGAGCAAACACAGCGGGCTCTGAGATCTCATTTTGGAATTGCCCCACAGGCGCTGCACCTCCAGAACAGCAGCGTTGGGGCTGAAGGCAGGGGGGAGCCCCCAGCAGCGACCCCCAGGTCGCCCCCCAACACCAGCTGGGGGAACAAAACCCAGGACAGCCCCGCCGCGCCCCACCCCACCCTGTAAGGGCAGGGAAAACACCCCCCGGCCCCACAGCCTGCCTCCAGCGCCCACCCCCACCCCCGGGACCCCCCCCCATCGCCCCCCACCCCCTCCCCACGCCCCCCGGCGGCGAGGCCTCGAGGGGCAGCCGCCCCCCGCGGGCCCTGCGCTAGGCGGTGCCGGGGAACAGGAGGGGACCAGGGGCACGCGGAGCCCCCCGCAGCCGAAACACCCCCGGGGGAGGCTCGCAGGGACCCCCCCCCCCGTGCCAGGCTACCCGGTGCCGCCGCCCCCCCGCTGCCGGTACCTCGATCTTGTCGACGCTGCGGGCGCAGCCCACCACCTTCATGCCGTGCTGCACCAGCGCCCGCGCCACGGCCGCGCCGATGCCCACCGAGGCGCCGGTGACCAGCGCCACGCGCCCGGCCCAGCGCTCCATGGCCACGGCCCCCGCACGGCCCGGCCCGGCCCGGCCCCGCCGCCCCGCACAATGCGCCGCCCGCCGCCGCCGGGACCACGCCCCCAGCCACGCCCCCTCGCGCGGGACACGCCCCTTTCACTACGCCACGCCCCCTCGGGCCTGAACCACGCCCCCTCGGGCGATAAGCCACGCCCACGTGTCTATAGGCCACGCCCCCCTCCGTAGACCTGAGGGCTCGTGGCCTTTATTTCTGTATTTTATATTTTATGTAAACTATATAAATTATATAATTATATTATTTATATTTATATAAACTATATAAACTATATATTTATTATATCATTTCTTTTATATAAATTATACTAAATATAGTACACATACACCAAATTTTTCTATGCATATCAATATTAATATATAATTTTAATACATAATATTAACATATAGTATATTTTATACTGTATAATGATATTTTTAATATTATATATTAATACTAAATATTATATATTAATATTATACGTAATATTACATATAATATTAATACTATATATTAATTTCATATATTAAAAATTAAATAATAATGTAATATTATTTATTAATACTAATATATTCATATTATACATATTACTTACATATATTAATATATAATATTAATACATATATGAATATTAAATATTCTTTAAATTTTGCACATTTTTGTAGTTTATATAAACTACATATATATATAAACTATACTATATAAACTATATAATTATATATATATACACACTTTATTTATATATTTAGCACATTTCAGGTTCTGTGCATCAAAAATGCAGCGTGGCAGGGGAGGAGCTGCACGGGGGAGCTGGGGAGAAGGGGCGGGATGGAGCCCCCTGCTCCGGAGCTGCTGTGCTGTCCTCCGTGGGTCTTCCCGAGGGGGCTGTGGGACCGTGGCATTTAAACCAGATCATTTAAACCAGCTCACTTCATCGCTCCAGCTGCGGGAGAAGCACAGAGCAACAAGCAGCCCACGTGGAAGCGATAGCTTCAGCCCACCAAGGACACGCAGCCTGTGAACCAAGTCCTTGTGCCAGCACAGCACGGGCAGCTGGTTCAGCTCGCTGAGGTTAAAGGCATTTAATGGTAGCTGACAAACCGTGTACTTGGCTAAAGAGAGCTCCTCCTCACCTTGCAAAGAGGAAGAGGTTCCCATCTTTAAATGCTTGAACCACCACAGCAAACGTTTGCAAGTAGCTGAGTCCGTTTTCATGCTGAATCTGGGCAACAGAGCACCTGCAGCTTCAGAGGAAGCTGAAGATTCCTTTGCCTGGATTTCACATTAAATCAGGACTCAGTAAAGATGTGCATGTTGTTCATTACTCTCAGTAAATCAGCTCTCAGGGTGCATTGTTAAGAGCTCTGGGCAAATTAGGCACCTACAAGCAGCGTGACGCTTTCCAGCACGAGCAGCTGAAGCATGAAGTAAAGCCAAGAAAACAAACCTCCCTCCCTCTATCAGAAACAACAGAAAGCCACAGTAAAAATAAATAAATCTGCTTATAGCCTCCAAAAAGGTTTTTCCTCTTAAATTATTGAACGGCTTGGGTTGGGGTGGGAGTCACATGGGCTGAATTTGGATGCCTACCATATACAACTGTATCTGCACCTCCAATTTATTCAGTATCAGGTTTTAAACCTTTATTTTTTATTCTGTTTTAATCTCCCACATTCCAAATCATCCTCTTACAACCAAGTCATTCCGTTAGATACCATGTTCGTAAGAACAAGATTTGGTTTAAGAGGTATTTATGTAAAAGCACTCATGTTCTGTCCCCCTAACAGAGCTCATTATTTCGTTAAGAAAACATCAAGGTGCTTTGGAAACCTGCTTTTTGTTTGAGTGCCACACGGACGTGTATTATCTACGACTGTGGAAGCAGAACAGCCACTGACAGAGCGGTGCCAGCCAGGCTGGGCGCAGTGCCACGCTGACACAACCAAGCTATTACAGACCCCGTTGTTTGGGAGTGACTTGAAGACCCCTAGACCACACGATGGTGACTCGCACAGCCTGGTGGGCTGGTTTTCCTGAGTGCCACTGAACTCGCTATGCCTTTCCCAGGCAAGTTTCCTTCTCTTACAGTTATCTCCAAGAAGCTACACAGCCTGAAGCAACAGCTTTCCCTCTGCACTGAACAGCAAGGATTCAAACCTCTGGGAAAGGCTGTTTAAAGCAGGAACATGTACACCAACTTTTACTATGCATATTAATAAATATTCTTTATTTAAATTTTGCACATTGCGCTTTAACATATTACATCCAAAACATTTTGCAAATGGATGTCTACTTTGTAAAATCTTATATTCAGCTCATTGTCATTCTGTACAGAATTATAGGTACAACATTACTTTGCCACTAGTTTGCTTTTTGTAAGTCTCACAGTAAGAGAAACATTTAATGAAAAGAGATGGCTTAAATTATAAGAGAGGCTTGCACAGCTACTCAACTAAAGATACAAGCCTGAAGAAAGAACAAAATTAATGAAATCACCTCCACCAGCCTCCCCCAAAAAAAGAAAAAAAAAAAAAGAATCACATTAATTTAAGATAAAATTTTGCCATAAGTCACTAAATTAAGTTTTTGAAAGAGAAGGCGCAGTAGTCATCTTGAGAATTTCAATGAAAGACAGAGCTATTTTATTGTATTTAGTTCGCTCCAGCCGTTGTCAACCAACCGTTACAAATGGGCCTCTTGTGATCATTTAAGCGGCAGTATTTATTAAATTTCTCCTTCAGATGCTGTCGGTATTGTTCTCTATTGCTGTAAAAAGACTTGTTGTTTGCCATAAATGACTGTATTTCATCTTGTGAGATAAAGATTTCCTCATCAGAAGTGCATTCAGATTCATCCTACAAATGAAAACAGGCATTTCAGAACTCCAGCATTGCCCTTCCTACACAGTACACCTGTCCTGTAATTGCACATGTCGTCTACGGTTGCTCTGAAGAAAGATGTAGCCTTCATGTCAACACAAGAAGTCTTAGCTGGCTAATCCCATCACTTCATTCACAATGTTCTGCTCTTTTCTGGGTAAGAGGCAGCCCATACAGTCATGAAATCTACCAGAGCAATCTTCACAGTCTTAACACATTTCCATTGAAAGCGTATGGCTTTTATTACAGTTTTTTTTGTTGCTGTTCTTAAAAAAAAAAAAAAAAAAAAAAAAGAAAGAACAAAGAAGAGAAAGGAATAGGGAAGGAAAGGGAGACAGACAGAAGAAATTTGTCCAACGAGCCTGTAATGGGAAGCAGTAATTAAGGCACGAAGGCAGCAGAAATGTACGCTTCATTTGATAGAATGATACAATCCTTGTAACCAATAATCCAATTTGTCACTTGCATTCCAGTGACAGCGATTTTTCCTCTGCAAAGCAACTGAGTTACACACTTCACAGAGAAAATGGAAAAGTAAACAAACTAAACACCAGTAGAGTAAGTTATGAGTTTTAGTTTCAGTAATGTTATCTGCTGAAACAGTTCTTCATTGGGATTTCAAGTTCTAAACCCCATCCTCAATCCTAATGAGTTAAAGCAGTATGTGACAACCTAAAATTCCAGTGGAAGTGGTTACTTACAAGGAGCTCCACTAAACTCTTGGCACCTTTTCCAGTATCAGGAACAAGTGACATTTCTGTAGGTTCTGCAAACTGTGACACATTTTTCATATGCTCAAACCAAGGCAACTGCTGCACATTTTTTTCTGAGCTACAACAGCTTTCAGCATGCGTGTCTTTGGTCTTGTCACGATGAAACTCTGTGTGCATATTTCCTGAGGTCTCTCTGTTACCTGGGTCTGTCATACAGCTTCCAAGTTTCTGAATCTACAATTGAGAAAGGCAGCGTTAAACCTGAACCATTCAAGTTTTATTTAGGGGAGGGAGGCAACAGGGTAAGATGAAAGAAAAACTTTCAAAAGGAGAGCAAGGATATATATATTTTAAATGTATGTGCCTGGGGAGAAAAATGGCATATTAATACACTGTGAGTGCACAGAAGCGCACATGCTTAGGAACACAGGAAAAAAAGACTCTCTCCCACCACAACCCGTTCTAGGAAAGACCTCAATTTCAAAAGTTGGATGGACGGGTAACAGAAGATCCCTGCAACCCCATTTACTGCACTGGTCACAACTGAAATTTGAGCTACTTCTGTAACTACTTTAAAACATATGCATTTAAATAGCTATTCCAGCTCACTTATGTTCCTTACATGTTCATTCTCACACTTCAAAGTTTTACTTTTCTTTTTCTTCTTTTTGTTTTTGCCTTTTGTGTTACTCTCTTCTGAATTTGCCCAACACTCCACACAGCTATCTCCATCCTCTTCTTTGTCATCACAGCGATGGACACATGAATCATCTCCTGCAAAAACCAGGGCATTTTCTCATCAGATCCACTGAGTTTTGTGTATTCTGAACCAATATTAAGTTCTTCCCAAACCTACCGTTTTCATCATGGTTGCAAATGCCTTCAGTGCAGGCCACATCGGATCCCTCTCGAGATCCTGTTTCGCTGCCCTCCATGCTAGATGAATAGCCACAGTCACTCCCATTACATTGTGGAGATAAACCTGAGACAAACAGAAAAGTTACACCAGTCTACAAGAGCTGTTGCACACTCTTTAATCATGCCTCTAGTAACTGAGATTTTTTAAAAGTTACTTTAAAAATAACTGAACACTACTCTGCAAATGATAAATGCTTTTAAAAACAGAAAAAAATAATAAAACTTAACATACCTTTCTTTATTTTAGGTGAACCTAATAGGGTACCACTACTAGGACAGGTGCAAGAAGTGCTTTCATTAGTAACAATTACTTCTACACAATTGTTAGCTTCTTCAGTGCTACCACAGGCTTTGCAACTACTTTCCATGAAGTCCGAATTTTCCTTAAAACAAGAGATAAAACAGAAAAACAATGCTTGCAATGACCAAAAGTAGCTCAGCCAGCATCTTTAGCATGGACACTCTTTCCACAAAGAAGAAACAGCTAACACTGATAACAGCCACAGCATTGCTTACAATTCTTCAGAAGCACAAGACAAGTCAAAAAAATAAATTTCCTCACAAGAATACAACCCTCAGTTAGCTCAGTAAGTTCAGTCAAGAGATTTAGAGTAATAATTGCAACTATTTCATCAGTTTAAGGAGCTTCCCCCTTCCCAAAAAGATAATAATGGTAATCGTCTATGACTAGCATTTGAAATCCCATAGTCTAAGTGATCTTTAAAAACTGACAGCTCAAAAATATTCTACCATAAGCTTCAGAATTTAAAAAAAAAAAAAAAAAAGACTGTGCTAATCTGTGAAGTATTAACTTCTGGTAGCAATCAAAAACTAGTTCCCAAAAAAGAAATATAGTAAAAAAAACTCTCAATAATTCTAACATGGAATAGTCAGCTGATGAATGAAGCACCAAATTAAAAACCCAGTTATTTTACACCATCAGAAACCACAGCTACCAATGTTTACCTTTGCTTGATTTATTTCCTTCTCTTCTGTTGCCTGCAAAGGAGTAGGGATCTCACACACACACTTATTTTTCCGTCTATTCTTTCGTTTTTGGCGCTTCTTCTCTTGTTTAAGTTCTCGCACTCTTTCTTCTTCTGAAAACTCTTCACAGAGCTGTTCCAATCGACTAATACCCTGCACTTTTTCCACAGCCATCTGTTTATAAGAGGTTAGATCTATTTATAGACGTTAACGCAACGCAAGCTTATACATTTATAAAAAAAGAAGTCATTATGAAGGTGCTGGGGAGAGAGTTATCTACGTAATATCAAAGTGGAGAGTGAGTGTACAATTGGTGTATGTTAAAGAAACTCTATGAAGTTCTGTCTTCAGTTCAAAATCATACAGGATTGCAGAGTGTAACTGGAATTGACCCACAAACACACCCAATACAAGATTTAGCAGTTGTGTTTGTAATTCAAAAGCACATAGAGCATTTTTATTCATGAGCCAGATAAAACTGTTGTAACCAGAGCTACTTTAAATGGTAACAGGTAGAAATAATTTCACTCTGAAAGAAAAAACACAAGATCCAGTATATTATGATGTGTGGCTTGGAAAGTAAAAACAAGTAAATGTCAGTCTTTATCTTCCAGTACACTTCACAACAGAATGCAACTCAGCTGTGATACACATTGATGTTGCACAACTGTTGCCTTCATTGAACAGGGCACTCCTGAAAATCTCCTTCCAGCCCCACGTTAACAGAAAGCAGAAAAATAACTTCAGTGAGAACGTACACAGTCGCTATGGTGATTCAAATACAAGTTAGATAAATAGATTTTTACCTCAAAGCTTTTGCGTAAAGCATCAACACCTAGGTAAAAAAGCATCTGCCATGTTTGTTCCTCGGCTCGCAACTTTTGCCAGATTCGGTGTAATCTTTCATAAAGATGAATACCCAGGCAGGTCAAAACTTCTTCTTGGGCTATGTCTATTGTCTTAGCATGCCTTTCTCTCCGTCTAAAAGAAGAGTTGGACCAAAGCATAGCATTGTTAAAGTAGCTGGAAATCTACCAAAAGATCAAAGCAATTAAATGAGGTATTTTCTGTATGTACGACTAAAGATATGTTTGCATGAGCAGCTTTTTTAAATCAAGTTCTGCTGTGCTGCATGCAGATGCAAAATAGAAAGGACCAGCTCAGAACTACATTCCTGACATGCTAATTTGTGTATGGTACTGTAAGGCTGCGCTGTGCCTTCCACCTTAAGACTTCCCCCATGAATTTGTTCGCTCCTACTACGAGGGCTCATCAGTTTTAATGTCAGAGATGCAGCCATTCTTTTATTTCCTAGAATTGTAACTTCGTTTATAGCAAGTATTTTAAGTTCCTAAATTCTTGTGTGCCAGTTAACCTAAGTTTATACATTACTTACCTTACAAAATAAAAAATATTTCAGTATTAATCTGCACTTTAATCTATAGTTGAAAAAATCATTATAGAAGTATTTGTATTCCTCACCAAACAGCTATGATCTAGTTCTAAAAATATAGAGCTCAAACTCCTATTTTTCATTGGAAGGATTTTAAGATGCAAAGAACAGGTTCAGAAATTACTATGAAATAAAAGTGGCAACAAAATTAAGTTCAACACTTGGATTCAGTAAAACTTTCAACAGAGGTTCTCTTTCTATTTCACATATTCTGAGCGCTTCGACGAAAAAGCAGGCAGTTCTAATGAGTGAACAAATGAAGAAGACATTTAGCAATTGTTCTCAGTCTTGCCTTCAGAGTTAAACACACTTAAAAGCGCTTTAACATCTTTACTACTTTGAAGCACTATCTTGAAAGTCTACTTCAATACGAGTATTCACATCCAAAAGTTTATTATGCAGCGAGGAGGCAAAAAACACTTCCGCAAAATACATTCAATAATAAAATAAAGAAGCAAAGCGCTAGATAGCCCACTCTAGCAAATTACATACTCATACCCTCCTGCGAACTCTGGTTCAGCTCGACCCAATAGGTGTGCGATGAAATCTGTTTCACAGCATACATGTATGTGACGTTCATGTGGACAGCAACGCAAACCCTCATAAAGTGCAGCACAGTAGCCCTTTTCTTTGCTGCAGTCTAGCTCACCAATAAGAATATTGTATGCCCGAAGTACTTTATTTTTGCAGTCAGTGCAAAACCTGTATTGAAACACAGAACAAAACAGAACTGAATTTTTAGTCAAGCAGAAATTTAGAGCAGCTAAGCCTAAGTTGTAACACGCTGAGCTCTTTAACAGCACATGCTATATTTAAAATAGGTCACGCTAAGGTTTATGTTACTTCAAAAGGTAAAACAGTAAGACTTTGAATGTAAGCCACGTAAGTTTACTATATGCACTATACTACCTATCATGTATTAAAAGTCTAGGTATCAATTTCATGCTCCAAGGCATAAATCAAGCTAATTGTTAATATGAAGAAATTCCTATATCGATACGCAATACCATACTCAGAGATCGGAAATCTAATAGTGAACAAACTGAATTGTTAGTACAAGCCAGGAAAAAATTCCTCTCAATAACACACTCTAAGTTACTTTACAGGAATTATTTAAAGTATACTCAAGTGAGTGATAAGCAATAAGAAAAAAGGTTTCTTCTGTTGCCTGCTGTGTAAGAGTGGTTTCCACTACAAGCACCTTAAAACATATTTTGAATTATTAGATTACAGCACATATAGCAAAACAAGATTTACAACACAATGTATTCAATTTAAACGTGATAGCTCAGATAACTAACGTGAGAACAGTATAGTTATGAAGCCTGTTATAATTAAAATACAACAAAAATAATTTATAAAAGTAATCTTCAAGAAGCTACAAAACATCTTGCTGTATTATTCTAAAAATGCAAGTCAGACAAGCTGCTCACATTTCAGCTCTCAGCTTGAAAAGCTTGCTCTTCTTGCCATCTCTGGACAGTGTTTTTCCCTCCCCTAGTTTGTCCAGTCACTTGACAACACTAAGTCAAACATATTTTGATGTTTGATAGAACTATGATAACTGGCTAGTTTCTGTGGTGAAAGGAAAGAAAACAGTAATATTATTGTAGGTTAGCATCAGGAACACTGCCAACACCATGTTTAATGTCAGAGGAGATTAAAGTTGTTTTGTTTCCAAAGTGTTATTTCCACACCACCACCACCCCCGCACCCATCTGTGCCCCCGTGGTTTATATCTGAACCTTGAAACTACTGGAAATTAAAACTTTTTAATCAGCATTGTAGCTACCATCCACATGCAACAATAAGTTAGAGGCCTATTTTTTCCCCTGCAAGAGAGATGTCAGGACACTAGCACTAGTAAGTTATAAACACCTGTTTTAAAACTGTGATTTGTATGCAACACCAACCCTAAAAATCTTCATCTGTTAGTTTAGCTGACATTATTTTGAAATTGCACATACTCCCTGAAAGCCTAAAAAAAGGCATAACCCCAATCAGAGTAGGCTACTTGTGCATGAGTAACTGGAACTCACTGCATTGCATCCCAACTAGCTCCTGCAGAAAGGAAAGTCTCTGGGATAGAAAGCATCAGTTTCAACATTCTATATTATTAAAAATGCATGGCTTTGACACCACTGGTGTTCTATATTATTACATAGCATTACTGTTATTCTATATTAACATAGCAATAAAAGTAATCCAAGATTCCTTCAGAAACATATTTTAAACACATCAATTTTAATCCTTTAACAGAAAAGGTAGTAAAGCTACTTGGAGTTAGAATTCTTACTGTCTTTCAACAGTTTACATCCCTTCCCACCACAATTTAAAAAAAAAAAAAAAATCACCAACATTCATCTGTCAGTGCATGCTGAAATTACTGCCAGAATACTAACTGTTGCTACCAGATTTAAAGTTGCAAATGAGACTCACGTAATGTGTATTAAGAGGTCAACAAGAATAAAAGTACTTGCAATTTGAATACATCACGTTGTAGATCATAATTTAATTCTAACCAAAAAATAAGAGAAGTAGGTATGACTTCATCTGAGGTGTGTGCAATTCTCCAACTACGACCAGGAAGAGTACAAAAATATTTCAACATCTTAATCTTGTCAACTGTTACAATGCAATCTGACATGGTTTTCTACCACCGTGAAGCTTAGATCTTAAGTTTTAGAAGGGTGTCAGAAGAACCCTGCAAACTTTTAAATGTTGCATAGATTCCACACGTATTTCGATTAACATGAAAACGCAGCATGTATTTCTCAAAATAAAGGGGTGTGTCTTTGTTCTTTTAACATACCTGTGTTTTCGTAGATACGTTTCTAATGTTTCTAAAAGACAGCTAGAATCAATTAAAACTACTTCATCCCTGCATTCCTGGGACATGAGCTCCCACACATCCATCCAACAACCCCTGGAAAAAAAAAAAAAAAGAAGAAAAAGAAAAAAAACATTAGAAACAGACTTTACATTATCCTGCCAGCAGTTTGGCAAAGAAGCAAAATAAAGCATCATTAGTTTACCTGACCGCTCCCTGGAAAGGTCCATAGTGGAAAATGATCCTACACTTGCTCTCCTCCTTCTTGCTGTCTTCACTACTTCTCTTATCTGCACTTAATTTCTCTGTACTGAGTGTACTACTGCTGCCTTCACTGTCACATAGTAAAAGAAATTTTAAACTGGATCTATTATGAACTAGTTATTTTTCCTAAATAAACGCTATGAAAATGCTGCAGTGTTCCTTGATTTTCTTTGACTCCTTTATAGGCTAAGCCTTAAATTACAGAAAATTTAAGAGTCAGATATGAGATACAGAGTTTGCTGTCCATGTTCATAAGCCCAGATTAATGACAACTTTTTAAGAAGTTATAGCTGAAAGCAAGTAACAGTTTTTCAGTATATTAGCTTAAGTATCATCATGTTTAAGTTTTAATACCTCTGGCAGATGACATTTCATATGACAACTTACTGGAGAGAAAAAAAACGTAATGAAACAACCATCCACAAACTTCCACACATCTACTACCACAGAGAAACCATAAAAAGCTTCATTAAACTTCCAAAATTTGTTTAAAAGCTTTACTAAGTACCACCAAATATGCTAAAAGTACTCTTACAGAGCCAAGAACAGACTTTAAATAGTAAGTCATGTTTACTTACGGGCTTGTCTACACTTGACATTTTACCAAAATGGTCACTTCTGTTTCAGCTCATGTCTGGATACAACAGAGCAGTAAAATAGAGGAAGAAGTACTCCAATTTAATAATTAGTTTCTCAAGAGTACTTATTTATGCTATTATCTCAGTGACTTGCCAGATCATTTAAGAGAGGTTAAGACACTCCTTAGCCCCAAATGGAACTGAGCAGTGACAAACCAGGTACACTGAAACACAGAACGTCAAGTCACTCTCCAGAGGTATTAGCTGGCATTCCTAATTAAGTAACTTGAATAGTAAGTGTGTTTAATTATCCAGAGTGCTTCTTTTTTTTGTGTGTGTGTGTGTATATGAAACACCTAACAGATGCATCTCCTCTGAAGAAGTTTCTTGTAATGGAGTCAAGCAGAAGCTCTAAGCTGATCCACAGAATTTGTTCTGTGAGACAATTCTATTTGACGCCTCCATGTCTAGGCTGTTAGCACATTTGCTTCCGCTCTAGGCAGCGGATTTATTTGGAGAAATATCAGTACCGATACACCCTGATCACTTCTGTAGTGCAACAAATGGGTATCGACCGAGCAAGCAGAGTGCAAGCTATGTTTCTTTAGCAAACTACACTGATTGTCCACATGCCACACTATCAGATAAAGCTGGAAGCTTTACTTGCAGTATATTAAAACACTGCTCTTCCACTTATTCCATTACCCTGCCACTGCTCAAAATACTAAGGAGATTTATACCAGCATGAATTAAAGAAATACAGACAGCATTTGCCTCTATACACTCATTTTCAGCACTGTTTTGTCGTGCCAGAATGGCAAGTACAGGTTCTGTGATACACGCTCTTGCACAGAGAATATTAATCTTACTAAAAACAAACAAAAAAATAACACTTCCATAACGCTTTGAATTTGCTGTATTTAAAAAAGAATATACCCCTATGATCTTTTGCTTGTGTCACATAAGCTTTAAACCAATTATGTGACAGGTCTGGAACCAAAATATAATAGGAGATGATGATTATCTACCAGCACCCTCAAGCAGCACAACTGAAAAATCAAGTGTCCAATTCCACATGCCTAGCATCTCAGGGGATTCACCTAAACCCAAAGAGACTCAACTCTGCATAGAAAAATACATGTCTTGTAAGTGGAAACCTGATGATCAAACTTGAACAGGTTGTATGCTTAACCAGAAGCAGAACGCAACTGACTGAAGTTCCCTAAGTACACTCCAACTAAGCACAGCAGTGAAATTTATCAGCTATCATTTCAACAACACTATCAACAATGATCAAACAAACACAAAAACCCCACACCACAGATTTACAGGGTGTGTTTTTTTGGTTAGCCAGCTGGCACAAGCCTTACAACTAACACACAGAAGCATACATGCACCGTTTGCACTGATGTATTCAAAACATGCTGCCACATTTTGAGAAAATTAAAACATTTAACAGATTTTTAGTTTTAAACCTGCCTCTCAACCACAACAAAGCCCTCTGTTAACAATGCCTTGTGCAGTCATCAATAATCTCAAGCAAAATGATGTATATTTGTACCCTTTTACTTCAGTGGGAGAAAAACTGCTGACTAATTGCTTTCGTACAGAGCACAAAAACCACGTCTTTCTAGAGCATTGTTCGTATCACAATGCAGAAGCCATCCATCCCCTGAGCAGACTATATTCCGAGATATATTCCAGATGAGAAATGAAAAGCACATCAGAGAGCACTGAGTTGTGATGGCCAAGTTAGCTTTTGGCAACTGGTTTCGAAATTAAACATGGGTATTTTTATGGAAGGGGAAAAAAACAAAACCAACCAACAATACTACCAGCCTGGCACCAAAGGAAAGACCCAAAATCCAAGAGTAAAAAATGCAAGAGCTGGAATTAACGAGCACATCTGGGGAAACAGCTGATTTCGTAGAGCGGCCTTAAAGTTCATATGAAAACATCACCAAGCGGCTGAGGGAGCTCTGACAAAGGGGGGGAGCACCTCTCACTGCAGAGAGTGGGAACTCACGCTGAGAGGGCAGGAAACCACACAGCACTGCTCACTGGACAAAACTGAGGTGTGAGCAAGGGCAGCGTAGAAAGGTTTAAACATCCTACTGCAGTAAGAGTCACGGTCTTACCAACTGAAGGGCTAACTGCCTTCTTATAAAACCTACAGAGAAAGACTCATGGCCTATAAGGCATGCTGCCCCAAATTCTTGGGTGCCTCCTCCTCTTCCCTGCAGCTTTTTGGATTTAATATAATCCAAATAATTTGGTAATTACTACTCTGGAAAACAGATAAAAACATAAAAATTGGTCTCTGTGCTTAAGAAACTAGTATCTGTAGTTTGCTTCCTTAAATATTTTAGATTGAATTGTGCATGTTAAGCATAAACTTACCCCAAAGGTTTTGGTTTGTGTGTGTCCAGAGAGTGTAACTGACATCTTTTGTTCTTCTTACTTTTGGGAATTGCATCGATCATATCATTCAGTTTGGACCTATGGAAAAAAAAGTAACTTAGTATTCTGAAAACACGGTTATCCAGAGAAATTTCAAAGGGATTGATTCAGCTCACGTATCAGAAACGAGTATGCTAAAGAACGCTGGATCTAAAATTTTCTTCCCGTTCCATATTTTTACTTATGACACACAGTCTTGCAGTACACATGGAAAATACACTATAGGTATTCCAGCCAAATCCTAGCAATCAGGATAAAGATAACTCACGTGTTAACAAGCTATTGCGTTACTCCCCTTTAAAAATAACGGGCTTGGAGCAGTGACACCTATTTCAAAAGTGCAGGGAATTACGAATTCATCATGTTACACTACCTCACCCTCCAAACCTCACTATCCCCAGCTCTGCACTAACCCCTCCTACTTCCCACTGGCCTGCAGCAAGAAGTAAAACAAGCTGAAGCCAAGGGGAAGGTAAAGGCACGCTGTGGTGAGCAGTCACTGTTTGGTTCGTTGACAGCTGAGAAACAAATGGCACTGAGACCAAGGCTACTCACTGTGCTAGCCAAACCCAGAGGGTTTCACTTTCTCAGCATTACCTTTCTACTCAAGAGTAGAAAGGTAATTTTTTATTGTTTATGTTTTACATGCAAAATAGCACGGTGAAGAAACGCTCTTCTTCCAGGGAGCATGAAAAACCCACAGTGCCTCTTCCAAGATTAATGACTAAACATTTTAATAGCTGTATCTTTCAGCTGCAACCATGGCATCACAACTGATGGTATGAAAGGTTAGGCATTTGGGTTTGTCTGTCTTCAGGTTAGTAAACAACTCCTTTAACAGAGCTGTAAATACAAGTATGGGCTATCAGATGCAAATTTGCAACAACTCAGCATCTCCAACAAGAAAGCTGCAAAGAAGTCACACGCACAGAAGCTAGCCTTCCTTTTCTTCAGATGAGAAGAATCTGAGCAGTTCTAAGATAACAGCAGGTCTCACTTACCCATGCACATAGAACAGTGTATAAAGCTTCTTTGCATCAGTCATACAGCTCCGGGTTACAGAAAGAACACCCTTTGGCCCTACTGTTAGAGGCTCAAGTGCTGGATTTCCAGACTCAACAAGCTGGGAAAACAGACGTTCCACACTACGACGACAGCCAACACACGGGACCAGCTGAGAAAGTGCACTCAAAACTTCTCGTGATGTCACCATCATGGCAATATTTAGATCCTGCTGTTTAAGCATGCTATGCCTCTAAAAGAGAGCAAGAAATGAAATAATTAGAAATAAAACATAAAAACACAACTTAAGCTGTTCGGCTTTTCCTCATCAAAATATACTCGAGGTGGGAACTGCATGCAGTGCTCAGTTTCAGCTCACCACCTTCCTACCAATCACTTACAATGCTTACTGTGTGAACCAAACCACATCCACTAACAACAGTGGAGCAATTCTACTTCAAGTCTTACAGTCTGCCCTCAGAAAAAAAATTAAGTATTTTTCTCTCCTGTCACTCAGATCAGCAAATACTGCTCCCAAACAAAGGGCACGTGTCCCTGTCATTAAAGAGGCCTTTTTCCTCCAACTCAGCTCAGATGTTTTAGTAAAGGGCCTTACACACAACTCTGCACATCATTTTCTACTCGTTCTCATTTCATCTTTGGCACATAGAAAAGAAATTCCCGGACACTCATTGGCATGTATGGAAATCTCATTGACAACAAACTCCATCTGTTTGCACCAAGACAATTCAGCACTGCTGTCCCTAGAAGGCTACGTGCCATTTCACATTACAAATCTAATACCTGAAATCAAAAAAGCACACATTACTATTCAGGGTGAAACATTTTCACTTCAGGAGCGAACATCCATGTGTGCTAATAATAGAACTTTAAAGAGAACACCTTCTAATATTTCTTACGTCAATAAACAATTTTAGGAGCTTCTCCTCGTTCCTCTGTCAAACATATCCACGCACACAGACACAAAAAGCACATACCTTTCTATTTCTTCTTCTAACTGCTAAATTACTAGCTCGGAGTTCGTCAACTTTGAACTTCCACTAGCACAGCTAAACGGAACAGATGGTCCATTCCTCCGAGAGCGTCCCTTCCTCACGCACCACCCAACATATCTACTCTTTGAGTATCAGCACTACAGGCACTTCTCAACTTTATCTGTCAAAGCAGAGTGCTGTCAATATATTAATTGTGTCACTTTCCCCTGGTTATACAAAAAATACAAATATGCTTACAAAGCTGTATCTACACAGTGAATGTTTTGCCATACTGCTGTCAAATCACACCAGTTAAACGCAGAAAAGATGTCACAACTGGTGGGGAAAGAGAGACCACACAACATAGCAAAAATAATCGGTCACAAGGAACGCATCGATACCTTGATTGAAGTGAAAAAATATTTATTACACTTTAAGTAATTCATGTTATAAAAAGTAAAGCTATTATCAGAAAACATTTCACGTTTGTGCTCTGAAAGGAAGACACATTAAATAATCTGACAAGTGATAGCACTCCGCAATAATCCTCTTTTCTGTAATTAATAGTACTAATCACAGCAACAGCAGAAATGAGCTATTTTCACAACACAACCATGCTTCATAGGCAGCATATGTCTCAACTGCTGCTGCCAAGCCACAGTGAAGAAATGTAAGCTGCCTATCAGCAAACTGGCTTGTTCCTTCTGACATCAAGTGGCAACCTTTATTTATTTATTTATTTATTTTTGCTACGGGTGTTACTGTGCTACTGCTATTTGCCAGAGCGTTCAGATAAGTTTCAGGGGTGCCACAAAGAAAATGTCTCTCACTGTTCAACTACATCTAATCTCTAAAGTAGCACATTAATTCTACCTTGGTATGGTACTAGCTATAACAACCGGACCTTAAGCAATGCACACTTTACTTGAATAAGCAGTTCAAGATTTATTTTCTAGAAAGAAGTGAAAATGTAGTAAGAAACCGTAGTTTCCATTAAGCATAAACTGGCAGTGACCAGTTTTCAACTCTAATTGGATATGCAGCAACTGCCTCCTGGGAAGACAACAGTGTATAAAAGCTGTGAAGCACAGAAGATGAATGCACCCAGTGTACTTTGGTACCAATACATAATTGCATATAGGCTCCAACGTGTCTTTCAAGTCATTTATTAAGTCATTCCAGGAATGACAGCCTCCTGGAAAAGCGAGAGCATGAACCTACAGAAAGCAAGATCTAGCACATGTCTTTCTTAAAAAGAGTGGTGTACTCACCTGAATGAATTGCTTTAGTTGTGCATTGTTGTTCTGATGTCCATCAAGGTTTAGCACATTATCAGGAAATTCCATCACCATCTATGTGAAAGACAAAAAAAAAAAAAAAGTTCTCAGAAAAAGCTGAATACACAGCATTACCTTGTTTTGCTTTCTTGAGAATGGGTAAATAAGATATTAGGTCCTCACTCAACTATATTAAAAGCTTGAAGAGGCACAAAGACAGAGAATGTTTCAGCAAATTAACCAAGTATTTTCACTAATACAATGTTCTACGAAAAGTTTACAAGCAGAAAATGTTGAACAGCTGATACAGGAGAGAGCAGAAGTTGCTAAATGGAATATCGCTGTTTATGTTACATTATCTGCAGGACTTGAGACCTTGCTTCAGTTAAAAAGAAGAGTGGTACTTCAGCACAAATTGAAATCCAACAGCCTAACACAATTTATAAAGCTATGAAAAAAAAATCCAGTCACAACATTTTAAGGACATTGAGTCTACTTCTCCAAAGGCTAATTTAAAACGGTCTTAATTCAGCAAGGTACTCCAAGGTATATTTTGTTTTGTGCGACTGCAGCTGCAACTCTCAGGGGGCTCAACGTTAAAATGTCAAGCCTGCAGAACAATGAGATTAAGTAATTAATATTTCTTTCCCAACTACTAACCAAAGAGGGCAATTTCTTGAAAAGGCAGTGAAATAACTTCTAGTCAAACCGACATAACCATGGAGAAAAATGAAGCCAACTAGAACCAGAAGTGAAGACTAGCTAAGTTATCTTCTTTGTCCAAACTGAGAAATAGAGAATTTAACAATATAAATATTGAAAGTTCAATTTAAAATCTCAAAGACAAAATAATAACTTTGATTAGTAACTCTAATATCAATCAACACCAAAATAAAATCATCCAATTCCCTATTTTTTTGCTCTCCTCTAACTTCCTTCAAGTGCCTGGTAAAGAGAGAATTCCCTGCTGTCTGTATAATTGCAGACACTACCTCCAGAGAATTGATACGCTTACTTTTACAGGCACTCAACACTGCTCCAAAATAAACATCTATTCTCTACGGCCAGAAAGCAAAGCAATATTTTGATCTCACATGTGCTAGAATCGGAGCATCAGCAGAGCTGCCTAGTTGTGTTTGTGCAGAACAGTGCCACAGCCACAGCTAACTCTGATGTATTCTCACGTATTTCTTTTCCAGCTTCCCTTTCCTCACCCCTGACCATACACACTCAGCAGCAGAGCACGAGGTTTGGTGGCAGGATTACAGGTTTCCTAGATGGCTAATTTGATGCTCCGGTTGTGGATGAGCTAAATGCAAAAGTAAAAACACTATCTGCTAATGGCAAAATGAAAAGAAAAACTTGCATATTTCTTTCCCCTCACCTTTATCACCCACTATCAGACAACACCCACAGATAGACTGCACAACACAGTGAAATTATCAAAGACTAAATTTATTCACGTGTCTGTTTGATGAGATTTTATTAACTGGTTAAACATAAGCCACCGACTGGAAGAAAAGATTTCCACGCTACCACATCAAATGGAATGCCTTCTAGAGATGATGAAAGCTGCTTAAGAAGTGAAAAGGGTTAATATTTAAACTTCCTTTAATTTATAGTTGAAGCTTAGAAACACAAAAGTAAGAGTGAACAATTCATTTAGAGGAGAGATATCATACTACACCTAAACAGGCTTCTGGGCCATTGGAAAGCAACATTATGAGTTTAAAAGCACTAAGAGCCATTCATTCAATGTTTTGCAAGCAGCAGTTCACTATTTTTAGAGTTAAGGCACAGACTAAGACTTCCAGCTGACAAACAGAAAGGAAGTAGTCCCATTAATTTTCAATTTTAAGTTTTAAACAGGGTCAACACAAACCAGTTAATTTCAATGACCGTTGTTTTTTTAAGATAATGCTGAAGACGTATAATTACATTTAAAAGACAACAGCATCCATTTCAAACAACTGCATCTCTTGCAATAGCTCTCTTTAAGAATTAAAAATAAATAATTAAATCATGGAAGGCTGCAAGACAAGGAAGCTAAGAGCTCATTCAGCTGTTTCTACAGACTTATCTGCAGACCAACCTCGATATCTGAATACTGTGTAACAACAGCAACTGAATGGAAAAAAAAAAAAGGATGTTAGAATGTTTCTTCATGGTGAGGATGACTTGCACTTAGATAAATGCCTCTCATCCAGATACAGAACTGACATACGGTTATTGGAACCTCTTCAATTACAACTATGGCTTGCCTCTGGTGTAAAAAAATGATAATGACAACACACTGCAGTTGTGCAAAGTTTCAGGCAGGGAGTTAAATTCTGGAACTAAATCACAAACGGAATTTTAGGCCAGCCTAAGTCAAATCATCTGTCTCACGCTTGCTATGGCCGAATATTCACACACACTTCTCACAATCTGTCAAATGCAAACAAAAAACTTAAAGTATTCCTACACGACACTGGGACTGCAGTTAATAAGCCATTCTAGGGGGGCTTTGAAAAACTCAAGGGGAACTGCCTAACAGACAGCATGGTTAACCAGAGATGACAGACTATGTGAGGCCAAAAAACAGTGATGATTTTTGGAGAGTTATTAATATGGCATCATTTACAATGACCAAAACTAAAACACAGCGAGGACCTCCTCTTTGAACATAGCAGAGCCAGATGGGATTGAGACAGAGAGTCTTCAACAATGTGACAAAGTGTTTAGAGACCGTTTGAAGATGCTCAATTGTTTTGCTCTGGAAGATGGAAGAAGTTACATTATCAAGTTGGTAAAGTTAAGAAAAAATAGCAAACCAGACATTTTTCCATATCTAAACGTGAGATGAGATTTTTAGAACACCTACATTTTACACCGTTTAAGCAGTTACTGTCACATGACATGTCACTGACAACAGAATTCACGTATGAATGATTAAGATACCCTGCCACACTACGTAAATCCAATTTTATTTTCAGCCCAATATTTTCTTACATTAACAATTCAGACAAATGACAACCGGCTGGAGTGCACCCTGTGTTCACCTACTATGCAATTTCTGACCCTTCCTCCAAACACATGAAGAAAACAGAAAGACCAGAGCGCCTCTACGTTGCACTTAGTTCGCTTTTCCACTGAATCTTCTAGAAATGGCAAAATCCTCATGTTTTCAAAATCACGAGAATATGCTGGAATGGAAAGCCTCCAAGATCTGTTGCTGCATGCACGGCAGCACTTCTTACACACTCCATAACCCCTTACTTTAAGGCAAAGCTACTGAAAACACCTTCGGCCTTCTCCTGCCTGCTCACAGGCAAGGCAATTCCCTAGCCTACACCGTGTGTTTTTAGCCTGCGATGTGTGTTTTCACGTTAACATGGCTCCTTTCCCGACGAGAGGAAAAATGGCTTTGCCCCACATTCGTGCTCTGGCACCGATGCACGCCTGTCACTTGGGAACGAGTTCCGTGCGGAGCCCAGCACGCCAACAACTTTCTCCCCGTGCTGTTTACGGCTTTTTAGGGCTGGGGCCGGGGCAGGAAAGTCCTGCAAAGAGCTGCAAAACCCCGGGGCCGAGCCTGGCAGGAGCAGCCCCGTGTGTGAAGGCCTCGCCCGGGCACCGCGACGCCCTGAGGGGGTGGAAGGGGGAGGGGGGGGTCTCGGCACTCACCGTGAGGGTGTCATCGATGTAGAGGGGGATTTGCCTCTTCTCGAAGGGGAACTCCTCCTCGCCGTCCCTGCACACCGCCACCAGCCGCGCCATCGCCGCCGCTTCCTCCTCCCAGCTGCCGAGCCTGCGAGCAGCCCCGAAACGCCGCGGAGGTAAATCGCCGCCTGGCTTCCCCGGCACACTTTCACCAGCAGGGGAAACCGAGCCTGCTTTACCCCATCGCCTGATTCACCACGGGCACACAGCCCCGCGCCTCCGCCGCCGCCGCTTCACGGACACCGGGGAGCCCGGCCCGGAGCTCGCAGCGGGACCGGGGCTGGGGGCGGCGGGGACGGAGCCGGGGCCGGGCTGAAGGCGGCGGGGCCGGGCGGGGACGGGGAGCACGGAGGAGCCCCGATGGAGCCCGGGCAGCCCCTGAGGTGGCTGCGGAGGGCAGGGGGGGTCCAACACGGCCGCCTCCCTCCCTCCCTCCCTCCCTTTCTCCCCCCCTCAGGCCGGAGGGGCCGCAGCCCGCCGGCCTCCAGCGTCCAGCGGGGGCCCGGTGAAGGCTCGGAGCCGAGGCTCCCCCGCTCCTTCCCTCACCCCCTTCCCTCCTTCTCCTTTTCCCTCCCCTCAGCCCCACCGCCCCCTCCCCGGGCCTTTACCGGCTGCCCCCAGCCGCGGGCCGTGACAGGCGGGCGGACACCTCGGGCCCCACCTCGGGCCCTGCCGCGGGGCCGCCTCCTTCCGCTCCCCCTTCCCCGGGCCCTCCCCGCGGGCGGCGGCCCCGGCCCCGGCCCGCCCCGGCCCGGCCCGGCCCTCCTCTCGCGAGACACCGCGGCCGCTGCTTCCTCCCCCCCCCTCCTCTTCCTCCTCCTCCTCCTCCTCCTCACCCCCCCCCGGTGCCGGGGCCGCCCCCCGCCCGTTGCCTCCCGGGCTGGGGCCTCCTGAGGAGCCCCGGGGCGAGGCCGCGTCACAAACGGCTCTGAGAGAACTTGGGGGGGGCCGTGAGGCACAGGCCGTGCTCAAGGCTTTTTATTTTATATATATATATTATTTATTTATTTATTTATTTATTCCCTCGTTTCGTTATAAAAACGTTTCCGAGGAGGAGTGAGTGGTTTTGGCTTGCGCACCACCTGCCTCTGAGGGGAGCGCTGTGTGGAGCCGCGTCGCTGCACGGGTTGCAGCTGTTTTCATGGTTTTCTTAACCAAAATTAAATAAATTAATAAATGTATATATATTTTTATAATTATAAATTAATAAGCTGGCATTTTAGCAGCATCTTGCCTTCAGTGTGGTGGGTATGGGCTCATGCGGACACCTCAAACCCTGCGTGCTCAGGGTTACACACACGTTAATAAAAGATGCGTGGAAACTACCATCCGATTTCGTCATTTATCCATGGAAAAGGGCTTTTGGGGCTGCTGGAAAACTCCTCGCTACCTACACAACAGGGAAGCAACAGCGCTTCAGTGCCACTGCGTGTGTGTGCCCATCTTCTCGCCTGGCAGAAAGGCCTGTGCTCTCAGCCACGGGAGCTTTGAAATCGGATACCGGCTGAAATCTTTATTGTAATATTCCACTTCAAAAGAGACCTGACTGGGTTGGAAAGGAAGGCGTGCTGCTGTCTGAATTAAAAAAAAAAAAAAGAAAAGACGCACTTAAAACCAATGAAATTTGGTAAGGAGTAGCTGTTGTTTAAGGAATAACAAGCTTAAGGACAAATGTAATCAGCCGTACATTTTTTTCTATCCCGCAGCCCTACAAAAAGGTCATTCAATGGAATTACGGCACCAAAGATGAAACAACTTCTGGTTTCCCAGCACTCTGCTTTACAATAATTAAAGTCAGTGGCATGCTATAGTTCAACCATTTTAGCCTTACTAGTTGAAATATATTCAGTTTTCACTAATTATATAACATATTTTGATTTATTTTCACATATATCTGCAGATCTCTGAGAGTTTACTCATCTCAACACACCCAACTGTGAAATGAAATGTAGTGCCCTTGTCCCTGCCAGCCACTGAACTAGCAGGCACCGAGGTGCACACAAAGAAAGTGTCTCCAGCATATCACGGTGCTAACTTCTCTTGCATCTTCTTGAGCTGATACAGTGCCTTTCTTGTACAGATTCTGTGACCAAAGATGGCTTGCTTGCATTTCGTGGTTCTTGCAGAAGCATGGTTAATTATCTGTATCTATTCATAGCCTAAACATTCAGAATTAATAACTGCCGGTCGCTTCAGGGCAGAATTTGCCACGTTGGTTATTGACAATAAGTAATGGGAATTAATTGTCCTTCATTAATTCAGTGGTGAGCAACTGACTTCAGACAGCTTTAAAAGTGGGAGACCGCCACGCAGTGCTGCGCTGTTCTCATGCGCTACGGGCCCCTCAGCTCGCCAGTGCTGCTACAACCACAGCTCCAGTCCTGCAACCAGCCCGCTGCCTGCATGCAGCTCGCAGGGCTCTGCACAGACACAGCAAACCTCCCACGGAATTTTTGCTTCGTGAAATGGAGTTGGCGTCTAGAGAGTTTGCTGCTTGTCCAGACACAACTCGGCTTTGTCACACCCAATTAACGCCTTAATTCTGAATCACGCTGGTAGACTTGTGCTCGCAGGTAGAACTCGTTGCAGGTCTTGCGCTTCAAACAGTTCAAAAATTAATATCCATGAGTAGTTTTGCACAAATGATTTCTGCCATTCAGTTTGCGATGGAAGCCTTTCTTCCCTAGGCAAGGCTAGGAATTGTTTTCAAATAAATTACCAGAAAAACAGTTACCAGGAAACTCTGCTACAAACTATGATAATTGTTTGTAAGACAGGGTTGCCTACTAACGGCATCTGCCTGCTGTAGTAACTGCAACTAGTACAATACAGGCTGATTTTCTTTAATGCTGAAGACTATATGGCTAGAACGTGGAAGTAAACAAGCATAAACTCAGCATGTCCACAGTATATAACCTTCAGTCATCATCTTTCCATTGACCAAAGCCTGGGAGAACCCCATAAATTCAAGAATATTCCACAACACGTCTGCCTTCAGGGATCTGATTTAGAGGCTTAATCTCCCTAGGTTTTATGATTCATTGCATTCAACAGACAAGGAAAAAATTGAAATATGGCCCATATGCACTCCTGTAACTCCACTGACATTAAACATCCATCATCAACTAGAGTTTGTATTCCGCTTCTGAAGTATTTCTATCTCCCATTCTTGAATTCCTCATGATCTTTAAATGTATTTCTCTTCTCAACAACTTAATGAGGTCAGGAGGAACTGTCACAGTTAGGAAAGTGAACAAAAAGGGTGTTCTACTCTGAGCTTATGGGAAGACTGTGATAGATGGAGAAACTGAGCACCTCTCCTACCAATGCTCTGCTGGTATCCTGCCCCCCTGCATCATGCTTCTTTCCATTTGACACTGTTTGCTAATAAGAATTCATACAGAATGTTCCCACTAGAAGACAGCTTGGCTGTCAAAATACAGTATTAAATCAGCTACTGTTTAAAACAATTTTATAGACAAATATGTGAGCCTTGAGTACTTTAGAGTTGAAGACCATATTCTACCGTGTTGCTAAAGATGAGCTGTCACATGTTGGGATGCAGGTTGGGGGTGAATTAGTTTTGGTTCTTTGTATTTTCTTATAAAAGGCTGTGCAGCTCTTATTATCTGCACCACAAATTCCACCAGCTGCTCTATGAATTCATCGGCAGTGGAGCTTTATCATTCAGAGCATCGTATTTAGATAGGGTCGTCATTTTTATTCATCACTGAGGATGAAAATAAAATTTAGCTTTAATTCAAAGGCTAATTTAGATTTCGGTCTATGATTAACATTCCACATACAATTACTGCCATCAAAGTCAAGCATATGCATAAATCCTTGCAGGACTGGGGCCAAAACACTCATCCAATAGATTTTATATAAAGAATTATTCTTATCTATTATTTATGCAAGGGCCTGAACTAGCTAGCTCTTGACACAGCTAAGTCTGTCTATATATAAGTACTCATTTTCCTACTTTTCATCTGGCTTCTCCTCTACACAGTGTTATCTTATCTTACCAGCACTTGGATAAAAACATCCCTCTTGAACCCGCAGTTCACTAGACGTAACATTACTCTTCTGCATATATGTTTATAGAAACAGTGCAAGTATTCAGCAAACAATCTCAGAAACCAAGTTTTCAGGAAAATGTGCAACATCTCCAACAGGTAACAGTACCAATTGTATAATTTGGTAAAACAAAACCTAAAAATAAATAAATACATATAAATAATGATTAAAAACTGTCATAAAAAGCTATGCTACAAATACAAAGTTATAAAATATTGTATTTACATATCATTAAAATACAGTTTTAAATTTAATTTTAAATAAAAAAGTTTAGCTAGTCCCCTTAAGACAGGGTGGAATCACCAGAATTTTAATACTATATTTTTGGCATGCAATATATACATAATTAAACAGTTAAAAAACATATATAAATGCAGTATACATAATGTAAGTGCAGTCGTGCTGTGGATCGTATCTATCATTATATTCACAATACCAGTCACAACATTTGCAAGTAAGAAAAACAGTAGCTGATTTTTATTAACAGCACTAATCAGGCAAGCGTGTGACAGCTCACTTTCCCTTCTGACAGGCACAGCCTCTGTTTCATCCTTTTTACTGGTGTTAGGGGGCTTTGCAACGCTCCAGCAGGAGGGCACACTGGAGCCCTTCACGAGAAGCTTTGTGAACAGCAGCACGAGATCAGTCATTAGGAAGAAGACAAAGAAAGTCAGGCAGTGAGCAACGACCCATATGCAGTATGACAGATTGGCCATGCGGCGGGACACGGGGTCTGCGTGTGCTTGTGACAGGTGAAGAAGCACGAAGAGCACGAGGACGGTCAGCAGTAAGGAACAGACTGCTTCCATCCAGTCCTTGACTGAGTTTCTGCGCTTCTTCAGATAGAGCCCTACTTGCACGCTTGCCATGTATATGGCTAGATATCCAAAGAGAGAGAGCAGGCCTTCCCTGTTGGCGTTGAAAAAGCCAACCCTAGTGTCTTTGCCATCGCTGCCGTGCAAGACAAATGTCTTCAGAGAGGTAATGTTAAGAATAAGCTGATAAAGTACAGCAAGATTCACAGCCACAATCCAAGATTTATTTGTTGGAATTATGGCTAAAAGTAGAGATGCTGCAAGCCTCACAAACGCTAAGGTAAAGAAAAAATTCCAATGCACTCCATACTCTGAAGTATGTTCCTGATACGCGATAGATTTGACACTAAGGAGTCGTCCAACGCCAAGGAAAATCAACGGCCAGATGGAAAAAAACTGCTTGGCCAGATGGGAAAATTTTGCTTGCGTCACATACGACTTTTGTCTAACTTCAGGACAAACAAGAGCATTACCAAAAATGAAAGCTCCAACCCCCAAATCCATAACTCCAGTTCCATAGGTCTCAGCTTTGGCATATCGCCGTGGGAACTGCGGGAAATCCACTGCTAAAATACCGATCGATGTCAGCACGTTGACATAAACACGCAACGCTGTTATTGCCGGAATGTATTCTGAATCCAAGTACGTCCTCTGGAAGTCTTTTACAATTTGCCTGAAAGGTGCTCGGGTATCGTGTTTTCTTTGGCTGTATATTTTAGCAAATATTCCTGCACAGATGGCTGCAATGATGCTTGGCGGAAAAAAGATGATTGGAGACAGGACTGTGCAGGAGAACAGGAGAGGAGATACCAGCACAGCGAAGTCCAGCAGCAGGCTGCATGTCCGTGACCTGAGAGGCTTCCCATTGTGCAGGTGGTACAAAATCAAGAGGAGCCCTCTGCAAAGCAGGCAGAGCGGAGCTAGAGGCAAGCCCAGCGAAACTTCCAGCAAGCTCGTTCCGTTCAGGTTACTGATAAAGGCTTCTTTCAGCTGTTTTTGTGACATCCTTCTTGTGCTGGAATCAGAAGCGTGAAATAGAGTCAGTGAGGGGAAGGGAAGGGAAGGGATGAGGGAAGGGATGAGGGAAGGGAAGGGAAGGGAAGGGATGAGGGAAGGGAAGGGAAGGGAAGGGATGAGGGAAGGGATGAGGGAAGGGAAGGGAAGGGAAGGGAAGGGAAGGGAAGGGAAGGGAAGGGAAGGGAAGGGAAGGGAAGGGAAGGGAAGGGAAGGGAAGGGAAGGGAAGGGAAGGGAAGGGAAGGGAAGGGAAGGGAAGGGAAGGGAAGGGAAGGGAAGGGAAGGGAAGGGAAGGGAGGGGGGTGCGGGTGCCCTCCCCAGCCCCCACCTCAGCTCCCCGCGCCCCTTCCTCCCGCTGAGGTAAACCCGGGCCGCGCTCCGCGGCCGCACTTTCCGCGCTGGGCGGCAGCTGCCGATCCGCAGCGCCCGATTCGCCACGGGGCAGCCCCGCCGCGGCTCCTCCTCTTCGTCCTCCTCCTCCTCCTCCTCCTGGTCCTGCCGCCCTTCCTCCCGCCGCCCCGGCTGCCCTCGGCCCCGGTGAGCGGCCCCTTCCCTTCCCTTCCCCGGCAGGGCCCCGCGCCCGCCCCGTCAGAGCCGCTCCGGGCAGGCGGGGCACTGAGGAGATCCCCGCAGAGCAGCGCCCGCAGCCGCCCCGTGCCGACTCCTCCGCTTTATTTCAGGGCTCCTCGGGGGGATTCGGGTGAGGGACCCCAGAGCCGAGGCCCCCGCATCCCAACGCTGCCGCCTTCCCGAGGGCTGGGCGGGCACAGCCGCAGCGCCGCGCTGTAGGAGCCGAGATGCCCAAGCAGGTAAGAAGGAAACCAGGAATTGTGTTGGTTAATTAATTTTTTGCTGCAGGAATTGGAATGCTGGCTTGTTTCCGGCCAGTTAGGATCAGGTAACTGCTAACGCTTATTCACTCCCAGTTCAGGAGCTCGGCTGGATGTATTAGCCGTGTGGGTTTGAGCTGTGCTGCTGACACCAAGACGAGATTTTTGGTATGCCATCGGCATTAATGGGGCAAGCGTCAATACTTACAGCAAGCATATATCCTGAAGGGAAGCTCTTCAGCAGAATGAACGAACGCGTGAGCTGTGCAGTGGAGCTGTCACAAGCCACATTTTCAAAAACTGTTTTTCTTCTGGCTAAGCAATCACCATTTCTTCTCAAACAATGTTGAGCAAAAGGGTGGAGGTGAGCAGAAAGAAGCTCCTTCTCAGGTCTTGCAATAACAGCATCACGATAGGCTCCTTAAGAACTTGTTTGGTGCCAGAATAATACAGCGAGCACGTGAGAAGGCAGAGGAAGAATGGGCAATTGGCAGAAACGCATCTTGTCCATGGGGTATTTCATAGCTGTGTCTGTTCTCCATGAAAGCTGCAAGCTTCTAATGTTCATTCAGAGGAGAACAACAGAAATCACTCTGATAGCAAAGCTTAACTACGTTGCTAAGCATTTTTTTTCCTTGATATGTAAAATTTTCTGTTACTGGAAATTAATATCTTATGCTGTCTGCAAAAGATAATAATGCTCCTAAATGAGTACGTTATTCTTGCTTTTTTTTTTAGAAATGCGTTAATGGGGTTTTGTGGTATATCTTCCTCTTTGTTAATGAGCTTAGCTCATGTAGTGAGAATGCTGCTAACTGAATTTAGCACTTTTTGTGCATAAACAATGCGATACTGTTCATTAACTTGGTTAACTTGTAAAGAATTGCATAGTTATGCTATTAAATACAAATGAGTAGGGTTACTTTGAAGGAGCTTCTGTCAAGGAGAAGGGGAAGAGTAAAGGAATATCCAGAATGTAAAAACCAGGACTGGTGTCTTTTCCCTTATAGCCCAAAAATAACAAGCAGGACCTGAAATCTCTTCTGGCTAAGTTTTCCATTACGTTTCTGCAACAAATGTGTCCTTCCAAGTAATTCTGTCAAGGACACAGGAGCCCAGAGGCTAAGATTTAAATACTTTCAGTGATTCAAAGGGGTCAAATCTTCAACTAATAGTCTTCACCTCTTAAAATGCTACTGTTTCTCTCCTCTGGCTGCAGTGCATGTACTCTGCAACTTCAGTCTAGGGGCTCTCAATCTCTGCTGTACAAATGAAGGTCTCTCCCAGGAAAACTGCTGTTGTGTTGAACTGCTGTAGCTTTTAGCTCTGCCTTCGCCTCTGCAGCTAGTCCTTCCTGCTTCCCTCTGACCAAGGCAGTGCTTGCACTGAATGCATGACATTCATGGGCTTAGAAATACACCATTAAACACACTGTACAAGTATACTTGTGCTGAATGACCCGGACATTTGTTAGCACTGGATAGCATGAGATTAAGGGCACGTTCTTTCCGAGTGCCTTTGCTTACAGCCAGAATTGCGAGCAATGAATTCAACCTACAAACATCGTTGTCAGCCTGCCAGCTCTCATATGCCAGATAACACTTTCTAAAAACAGACTACACCATGGGAAGCATCGATGCAGGGGGAGGATATTGCTTTCAAACTGGGAGGAACAGGAGCTCAAATATACTAACTTATGATTCTTGGTGACCGTGAACTTCTGTTATATGGAAGCAGTAGAAGAGCTATAACCTGTGGGGGATGAGGTGAAAGTCCAGCTGTATTCTGCCTTGGACTGGTGCTGACCTAACGTCCTCTCTAGGTAAATGGCCAAAAAGAAGATTCCATCATCCAGAATGACCTCAGTGAATCATTTGAAGAAGAGGTTAGAGCTTTTCTCAGTGATGAAGAGAAGCTGCATCTTTTTGATGACCTAACAAAAGTTAATCCAGTGACAATGACAACAGGTAAGCAGCCAGCCAGGAGTGGCATCTCCTGAGGAGTCACTTTCCCTGGTGTCTGCCAATACCTATCATTAGTGTTCTCGCCACGTTCACATTATCCTGAACACAGTAGTTAAATATCCAAAGCCTATTAAAATTAACTGAGTCATGTTTGACTTGGTTGAATTTTTCTTTTTCAATACTGTTGTTATAGTTAAGTCATACCGATCTCTCAGCAAGTTCTGCCTGCAGAACTCATGTTTGTGTTGTTGCTTCAGGTAGCATGGGGTTGTGGTTGAGACTTCATGCTGTTGAAGGACTCTTGGATGACCTTGTGATTGCAGTTGTGGTTTATGTGAACTTATCAGAAAACAAGGCTCTGACTTAGATTCAAAACATGCCCATGAAATTAGTTTTGAAAAGTAAATTTCTCATTTGACTTTTAAAAGCCCTGTTGAAACAAGCTAAGACCTGCTCCTAGTGTAGATGGGGAATTATTGCCTCTATCTGTTCTGCAAACGAACAGCTCTGCTTTCTAGGACTTACAGTACAAAACCTCATAAAAGCACAGGATTTAATGAATTGAAGAGTTAACATCCCTTAAGCTTTTTAAAAACAAGAGCAACTTTTAAAGGCATTTTTTATTTATATTATTTCTATAGATCTTTCTTGATCACCTTCTCATTCTCTGTTAAACATAATAGGTAACATTTCTGAAGATTTTTGTTACAAATAGGAACAGGAAGAGTTGAATATACTTTTCAAAAGACACTAATAGAAGGTGTATCTTTCAGTTCTGAAATGTCTTCAAGCAAGATATACTGTAAACTTGTTTTATACAAATGCTGGCTGCAGCCTGGTGGCTTTAAACCCATTTCAGCCTATCTCCTGCCTCTATTCACCTGAGCTTATGAGAGAGTACCATGTTGCAGTTCGCCCCCAGGTAATCCTTATGTTTGAAATAATTGTCCTCCTGCAGAACCCAGATTTCAAGTTCTTCAAAATCTCTACATGAACAAAATAATTCTAAAGGATAAAACCCATTTCTACTGAAATATGAGTTCTACTAAAAGAGCAGTACTATTTTCAGATAAATGTGTGAAGACCTTTGCTGCCCATTGCTGTAGAACTGTGTAATTACTGTTCTCTTAAACATGAATATTCTGTTTTACTGCCAGGATTTAAAACCTCACATCTTTGCAGTGGCTGAACAAACCTACAGAAATGTTCAAAGCCAGATAGACCCCATAAACCAGTCTATAATTGTTAGTGGAGAAAGTGGTGCTGGGAAGGTAAGGAGATTTTTTTCTATTGTCCTGACATTGTTTTTATGCTTTGAAATTTGGTAGTGATTTGTAGTGCAAAGTATTTCAGTGAACAAGCAAAGAAGAAGAAAAAAAAATTTCTGACAAGAAAATTGTAGCCAGTCTGCTCTAGCAAGATTCTCTTGAAATATGCATAAAGCATTAAGTGATTGCTGCAATCAAATAGACTCAATATAACTACTCTCTAGGTAACATCTGTCACTTCTGGAAGGGCTATATTTGAATCATTTGATAGGAATCGCACCTGAGTTAAAGTCTCAGCTTAGTCTGTTAGGAAGCTATTATCTCAGCAAACCCTATATAAAGACTTAAAAGAGGTAGGAAACTTCAGATCCTATCCTAAGCCCTTCTGTAATGATCCATTCCTATTCTGCAAAATAAGTGAGGATATTTTTAAACCTGAGAACAAAACGATTTGCTGAATGTTAATGACTCAAAGTCCATTCACATTCAATTCATGTTAAGGTACTAGCTATTAATTCTAGCTGAGCTTCCAGATGGTTACATCTCAGTAAAACTGCTGTTCAGCAAAGCACTTCAATAGGATTTAAGTGTGTCTGTGGCACATAAGGATATGCATAGAAAGTTTCTGCTGAACTAGAGCTATAAACCTGACATAGTTACTCTCCAGCATCACCGCCAGCTGTGTTTTTGGTAGCTAGCACTGTTTCACTCACTAACATAACTATTAACAGTAAAAACGAAGGCCTACTGTCAAGTCTGTCTCTTGCAGACCTGGACATCTCGCTGCCTTATGAAATTTTATGCTTCTGTTGCTGCTTCAGTTACCTCCCCCAAAGACAATGAAACTGTGGAAAGGATAGAGAAGAGAGTGTTGGATTCCAACCCCGTCATGGAAGCATTTGGTAAAAGTAGCTTTTTTAACAGCAAAGACAAGTAGTGGCCATGGTGGGCATTTTCTTTGTTAACATACAAGTCTAAGCTACCTCTCGTTCGTCTCCTTAAAAGACAAACTCTTCAAATACTGGAACTGTATAGAAATCCCCCTTAATGTCTATATGCCCCACACGGAAGAGTAAAACCACTCTGATTATGCTGTATGTGTCACTGGTAATTTCACAGGAAATGCATGTACCCTGCGGAATAATAACAGTAGCCGTTTTGGAAAATATATCCAGCTTCAGTTAGACAGGTAATAATTACTGTTTTAAAAGCTTATCTACTGTCTTCTTTCTTTACATTTTTACAAACCTATTTCTAAAGTCTGCCAGAGAATATTCAATGTCTTTATAAATATTTTGATTTGCTGGCAGTTTATATTATTATTTCTTTTTTGTTTTCTGCTAGCACTCATCCTGATATCTAAAAGAGAAATGGAAAAACAGAGATGCATTTAAGAACTCTGAATAAACTATTATATTAAACTTGCACAAAACTGAAGGTGGACTGCAGGGCATTCCTAGTCAGTCTGTATTGTGACAACAGAACATTTATCAAATGGTGAGGGAACTTTGTTAAAATCTTTGCTTCTTTTTTTCCCCCCCTCTTTGCCTCTAGATTCCACCATCTGAGCAGTGCCTCCATTCAGACTTTCCTTTTGGAGAAGACAAGAGTTGCCTATCAGGCCCCCAATGAGCGAAACTTTCATATTTTTTACCAGGTGTGTTCAATGAATTTTGCTAGATATTTCTGACAAACAGTGGGTATGAAATCACCAGATTTAGCACAGTTGCAACTTCCGAACAGTTCACCTGTCTGCCATGCTTCCAAATTAAATCATACCCCCAGGCCCTTATTCTTCCTTGTCTGTGAGATGTAAATACCAAAGGCAGAATCCAGTCATTACCTTGTTTTCTGTCTTCAGATCACAAAAGGTGCCACTGCAGAGGAGAGGCTGGAATGGAATCTTCCAGAAGGGGCTGACTACCGCTGGCTGCCAAACTCTGAAAGAAATTTAGATGGTAAAAATCAATTCCACAGACTGGCCCTTAATAACAGCTGTAACTTTGAAGGAAGGCAGGTGAAAATGTGTCTGTTCCATTAAATCCCATGACCCAGGTTGATCAGCCAACAGGCTCCTGGTCTGGCCTCAACAGACATTTTGCAAAGCCACCAGCATTAACATGATTTGGTTTTACGTTTTAGTTTGCACTGTCAATGGTTTTCACCTGACTTGAAATAGTGGTTTCTGGCTTCACGAATTTGCATCACTCTGTGGTTATGTTTAGAAACTGTCTCATCTTTGGATGTGCTTCAGCAACCTGCTGCCTAACTTCCAAGCCCCACAGAGTTGGTGCTAAGCCAGTGACTTGGTTCTCCAGCTCGTCTTCTGGGATTTACCTAAAGACTGTCTGGCTTTCTTGATCTCCTCTGACAATTCCAGCTAAACTGGACGTGGTGGAGAGTTTTCTGCATGCCTGCATGCATGGCTTCCTTTTGAATAACACCTGTTTGGCTTTTCAGAGGACTGCTTCGAGGTGACCAGGGATGCAATGTTTCACTTGGGCATTGACCGCTCCACGCAGAACAATATTTTCAAGGTCAGGTACAATGCATGGTCACCACGAGGCTGACAATGATGTTTGGAATGTCTTTTTAGTGTGGGATTTCTACAGAAGTAAATCTGTATCAGTGTCCAGAGCATGGGTTGTTTGGTATTAGATGCAGCAATATCACCTGGCAAGCCTGCAGCTACACGTGATGTTGCATAACCAAATATTAGTTTTTAAGTAAAAGCCTGCACCTGTGAGCTTTAGATTTCCTTCAGTAGTGCAGCACTAGGAATTACTGTAGAAGCTTGGAATCTACTTGCTTTTTGTGTGTGTAAAAATGCTTTGACTCGCCTTGTTCATATGCCAAGGGCAAGGCTAAGAGGATGCTGCCTTGGAGGAAGAGCTGTGTTTTAGAAAACTCAGTGCTTGATTATATTGCAGGTGTTGTCAGGCCTTCTCCACCTTGGGAATATTCAATTTTCTAACCCACTAGATGAGTCTCAGCCTTGTGAACTAGAAGACAAGACCAAAGGTGAGGCAACAAGCATGCCATACTCTACAGAGTACCTTCTTCTGGGTTTGGGTAAAAAGATCCAAAATCCCACGTTTAAGTTAGTGAGTTCACAGAAGTGCCATTTTGTGGTATCACCTCTAGACCTTCCATAACTTTAAAGGGGCTGCATTCATTTGACACTCCAGATAATCTTCCAACATTTTTTTTGCCTGAATAAGATTTTGTGAAGATCACTGGGGACTTGCTGAAGATACCGGTTGAGGAGCTACTAGAATCACTACGAATTCGAACAATAACTGCTGGAAAACAACAGCAAGTCTTCAAGAAGCCATGCTCTAGAGCAGAATGTGAGACTAGGAGAGACTGCCTCGCCAAAGTGATCTACGCTAAGTAAGGCCACGCTGCTGTACCAATCCTTTTAATTTTTGTGAGGGAACAGGGAGGCCAAGGAGACTTACTTTCTCTGGTTTTTGCTTGGACACAACAGTAGTATAACTCTGCCTTTCCCTCCTGAGACACCCTTGATTCAGTCACAGATACTGACATAGCTGCAGTATCTAATAGATTTTCAGAGAACTGCTATTTAATGTCAGCCAGGCAGCGTGTCATAACTTTCTTGCTGGATCAGTAAGAAAAGCAAGCTCTTTTCCAACTAATCCAGTTGTCATTGTCTGCAGATTGTTTGAATGGCTTGTTTCGGTCATAAACGAAAGCATTTTTGCAGATACATCAGCATGGACCAGCTTCATAGGTACGGCTATACATCCCTGGTTTAACTGAGTTTAACCATAAGTCCTTCAATCTACTCCTAGACCAAAATGCACTAGCTTACCATATTCTTCCTAGGTTTGTTGGATGTTTACGGTTTTGAAGCCTTTCCTGAAAACAATTTGGAACAGCTTTGTATTAACTATGCCAACGAGAAACTGCAGCAGCACTTCGTAGCACACTATCTGAAAGCACAACAGGTAATATTCCACTAAGAGCAAATGTCAAACAGCATCATAACCATTCACTAAGTACAAAGTTTCTAGACCTGGACTTAGTGCCAGCACAGAGAACCCAACAGAATCTTGTAATCTGAACATCACTGGTACGTGGTACCTTGTGGAGGTCTTCTGCCATGGGAGAACAGCTCCATAAACCCAGTTGTCATGCCAGTGCCTTTAAGTTCAGAAACATTGCACATCAGCTTTTTTCTTCAATGAGAAAGTACAAGACTTGTCTTTCACAACAGAGAAGGTATCTGTTCCATGCTAAATACATTACAGTCACTTATCTAACTGGGCATGCCCTGCTAATTCAAGTTCTCATCTGAGTGCTCTGAGAGCTACAAAGCCCCTGCCAGACCTGGAGTGCTTCTCTAATAGATGTACTCCTGTCCTGGTTGAATTCCTCCACATTACACATGCATTACCCCAATGATCTTTGCCATTAGCTGGAATCTGGGAAACTGTTTTCTTAATGGCACCAACATGATGGCACCTTCTGCCTCACAGCATAGTTATATCAATTTATTGAGGACAATAGCACCTCTTTGCCCATAATTTGTGCTTTCATATGCTTTTTTTTTTTTTTCCCACCTACCTTCGTTAGTATGCCAGGGGTTAATGGTCAGTGAAGACGGAAACCAAGTTCAAGCACACGGTTACTTTCCTTAAAACTAATTCATGACCTCTGTTTGTAGCACTCCTGCCAATGCCTGCCTGCCCTCTTACCTCTCATGATCTGGCTGTGTCCCAAACCATCTGAATGCCATTAGTGGCTATGCTGAGCAAGCTCTTGGCAGGAGACTTTTAAAATAACTGTCCAGGGCTTCTGCTTGTTAAGCACTCCTGACAGTTTGTTCCATAATTTGGCGTAAATATTGTACAAGCTGCTTCAACTGATGCCTTTTTCCATTTCCTTTTGGATCAGGCTTTATTTAAATGGAGCCAAGTTAGTGAAGTCTGGCACACAATGGCAGGTTTAGGGCTGTGTCCCAGTCTAAGGAATTCTGTGTATTCCTTGCACTTCAAGGGAAAAACCAGTCAGTACAGCCAGGAGAGGCTTAGTGTCTATTTGTCTTAGTGTCTTGGCCTCTGTTTACTTTGTAAAGCAGCTTTTCAGGTCTCACTAATAAATCTAAATTTCCCAAATAATGAAATAAACTGTTCCAATAGGAGCTGCTGCTACATAATCAAAAGCTACTTGGGGTAAAATATCCTCAGATTTTTTTTTTTTCCTTCAGATTTCCACTGAACATGAACTGGTCTTTGAATAAGTAGGCTGAGTCTGTGATTAACTTGTTAAACAGTAACTGCATCAACTGAAAAAAACCGTGCAGTTATTTGAGCTCTAGTGCCCTCTGCTGCACAACAGCCAGTTTCTCTCTTACTTCAGGAAGAATATGCAGCTGAAGGCCTACAGTGGTCTTTCATAAACTACCAGGACAACCAGAACTGCCTTGATCTGATCGAGGGCAATCCTCTCAGCATTTTTTCTTTGCTGAATGAGGTAAGTGCACACCTACACTCCTAGTGCTTCTGGCCTAGTTGCCTGCCTCCTGTCTCAAGCCACCAAAGAAAACATGAATGCTAAATTAGTATGAAACTTGCCAGCTACAAAAATTCTGCAGAACTTACCTTTTGAAACTACATGCTCATTACAATCATGACATTTCTTTGTCCTATACAGAATCTTTTTTTTTTTTTTTCCACTGATCCAGGATGTTTTGATTCAAACGTGAAGCCTCAATTACATCTTTTTTCCCCACAGTATTTCAGGGCTTACATACCAAGAGCAATTCTAAAAGTAAAATGGCTATGATTTTAATTTAAAGTGTTTTAGCTTTTAATTATTAGACAGCTGTTTTTGACTAATACAAAATGCTGCAATTTTGTCTTGTCTGTTATGCAGGAATGCCGTTTGAATAGATCCTCTAACCCTGACCTGTTTCAAACTCGGATTGAGAAAGCCTTGTCTGATAATCAATGTTTAAGTCGAGACAAATTTAGCAAGAAGCCTAACTTCATTATTTCACATTATGCTGGCAAAGTCTGCTATCAGCTGGAAGCAATGGTGGAGAAAAACAAGGTAGATGTTTTCAGAATCAGCTGTTTAAAAACAAAACCTTGTAGAGCAAAAGAAATTTTAATTTAAAATATCACTAACATGTATATTCAGCAATGTTTACTGAATTTGCTCACCTCACTCCAAATAAACCATTCGGGCCCTGTAGAATTGGATAATGTCCTTGGTCTGCTTTTCAGTGAATGGTCACTGGCACAAGTAAAATCTTTTTTAACAGACCTTTCAGCTGAGGATTAAGTGGATCATGTATTACCAAATCAGGGCTTCTTCTGTTCCTGAGACAATGCAGAAGTGTTAATGGCATCAGGGCATTTATATAGCCATAAATATAGCACTTAGCCTCATAAAAAAATCAGATAAGTTTATGAGAAACAAGAGCATAGATGTCACCGAAACTCAAATTTTGGCCTTGTTGCGCCATCACAGCACAAAAAAAAATAGTCTGTAGACTACTAAAACTGTAGTCCCGTATCATTTTTTTCATAATCAGAAACTACAGCAAATGATACTATGGTGATGGAAAAAAATAGCAACTCATTTAAAAGGAAGAATTTCTAATATTTGTTTCAGACTGTGCAATTGGGATTAAACTAGTCCTTGGGTTTCTAGCTCACTTAAGTTGTATAAAAAGAAAAATATTAGGAGCAGTCATACATTTGACTAGATTTGCTAGATGTTTTGCCAAACTATTTTCTGTTCTCAGATCTGACTATGAATGAATGCATGTAGTCAGATTTGAAACTACAGCTGTGGTTAAGTCACACTTGGCATCCGAAATACTATTCCATTTATTTATGTGGAATTTTTTGAAATCTTCAAAGCTTTCTGCATAAGGCCAAATGCTAATGAGTCATGTTTGTGTTTGCAGGACCCCATTCCACCAGAACTCATCCATGTTTTGCAGAATTCTAAGGACCCTTTACTCCAAAAATTATTTCCTGCGACAGAAAGGAACCAAAATAATGTCAGAACCCAGAATAGAGCAGCTGTTATTACGGTGGTGTCGAAGTTCAAGGTACATTCTATTCAAGTTTCTACTTTCTACTGCTGTCTTCATAACTAGATGAGAAAACAATATAGTTGGAACCAAGACCAATAAATGTTATTAAATAAGATGGCTGTAAAACTGAAGTAGTGTCAGGTTTCTGATATTCTCCTGGTTTAGAGTTTTAAGTCACTCCAGTCTTAGCTTTTCCTTTAACAGTTGGGCATCTGCCTTTATTAGGCTTTTTCCTACTTGTTCTTCTTGATGGGTTAGCTTCAATTGCTGTCCCTGGTACAGTTTTGGAAACTTTCTGAATTTACTATGGATGCTTTTAAAAATTGTTGATAGAGTGGTATTTTTACTCAAGATGTCCTTAAAGAACTGAGTCTGTAGAGCCATTCTTGCAAAAAACTGTTTTTATAGAAGAGCTGTGATTAACTAAACTACATTACCTATGGAGGAGGAATCCCTAATTATACCTGAATTTGTTTTCTGCAGGGTTCACTTGAAAATCTCATGCAAATTTTGAATAGCACCAAACCACATTACATCCGATGCATCAAACCTAATGCTGACTGCAAGGCACTGACTTTTAAAAAAGAAGAGGTAATTCTTCAAAAGCCTTTTTTTTTTTTTAAACGGTACATTTCAAAAGAGCTTTTTCGCCTTTGCAACTTCCAAGATAAATGTCCTTTCAGAATCATTGATGGTGCCTCTGAAATGGCACCAGTAAGCTCAGCAGCTTGTTCAGATTCAACTTACTTGTTGCTCTGTGAGAAATTCTCTTACCAAAGTGCTCGTAGGTCATTTAAAATTCTGCCTTTGCAGTCTGCAAGGTTGATAAGGGTGATCTGGCTGTTGGCTGCCCAGGTCACACAGATATCCTCACAGCGCATACTCACAATAAAAGTTTGCTTGCTTCTTCTGGTGTCTGGTCTGGGAGGGCTGCCAAGTTAGATGAGATCAGCTGACAAGCATGTCTTTGGGAAAAGAACGGCAGATGCTAAAGCTATAACTAGAGGACCTTCTCTGATGGGAAAATAAACAGCTGAGGCAGTGCTGCATTTATTTTAAACACACTGAGAATTTGCTGATCGCACGCTAGTGTTAAAATATCAACATTGGGTTTCCATGTTCTGTTGCATTTGGTCAATGCAGGGTATGTGGATACCACAAGAAAAGGCAAAAGTGGACTTTCCCTCCATATCAGCACTGCCTTGTCCCTGCTCTGGCTGTTATACAGTGCAGTAACTCAGCAGCCATGTAACCACCTTTTCCACCCTCTCCATTCGATCCCTGACTGGCAGTGTGGTGAGCCATGCCAGGCACACACTAGCTGAGCTGAATGTGGCTTGGGTTGAGCACATCCCATGCACACTTCACTGCAGCTTCCACAAAGAACAAGACAGTGTTTGCCCACCTAAACCAACTCAATTTATGTCTCAGGTTCTCAGCCAGCTTCAGGCATGTGGAATAGTTGAAGCCATCACCATCAGTGCAGCAGGCTTCCCTATTAGGTAAGTCCAAACTTCTTGGGCAATGTCTTGCATAATCAATTTCTATAGCAATTAGCAGTATATTATTTATTTCAGAAGTATATTTATTCACGTTATTGACAGCTCAGCATCAATAGGGTGAGGCTTGCTCTTATCATAAACAAGCATAATTCTTGCCCAGTTTTTGTTACAAGCAAAAGTAATTGTATATTACTGGGCAACAGACAGCCTCCTGAATTTCTTCAGCAAGTTTATAGTTCCTTTCATGTTGGTGACTACACAGGCATCACTTTATTTGCAGTCTATGAGCTGCAATTTTGAAGCCATTCTGCAATTTTTTCCCCTCAAAGGATAGGTTATTTACCAGATAGTAAATAAATGATACTTGCCTAGAATTAACCCTATTTTTGTCTATCAGGATCTCCTTTGAAAGTTTCACTGAACGCTATGAAATACTGAGAAGATCACGTGGGTACAATAAAAAGAGTGTGTGTGGTAAAAGCAACTATCATACTGCCAAGAAAAAAGGTACATTTCCTTAGAAAATCCCTCTGCTGTAAAATAAAATTATCACTGCACCAAGTTGCTATTACATAGATCAGATGCAATTACTATATTCAGCACTTAGCAAGACCATTATTCTGAAAATATTTTCCTAATTTATCTACATTGACTTAAATTTCTAATTTGCCTAATGCATATATATAGCATGCTCTTTTTAAGACAGCAAATCTTTCATCTTACTGCTGTTTTTCTGTGTTCCTCTTCAATAGAAAAATTAGTTATGATGGTGTTTGGGTTTGCCCCCAATTTAATTTGATTTAGAGCTGTCTCTTAAGTAAACTTGAAAACCACTTACCTTTTTGCTTATATTCCTTCTCCTTCCTTTTTTTTTCCCCACCTTGTCTTCTTGCCAAACACACTGACCTTCTAGCTTACTTGGATTCTGCTGCTTCTTCTGCCTTTTGCAAACTTCTATATGCAATTCTTTTTTCTAAACAAGAGCGAGGATGGACTTTATAAACATAATCCAGTCTACCAGGTAATGTCTTTGGTACATGTCACTCAAAGAAGGAGCTCATCAGGTAGTTACATTTAATATTGCAAGTTACTGCAAACCCCTTCCCTCTCCCAGATTAATCCCATTTTCTGGGGTCTGCTCAGTAACCAGCAAACGTAGAAAACAAGATCAGTAAGTACCAGCCTATTTCAGCTAAGTAAAACGGCTGGAAATCTGTTAACCTTGCCGAAATAGAATGAAGTAATGAAGTACAGGCTGGAAAATTACTTACACACCATATCTTTCTCCCTCAATTAGAAACCCATTAGTTGAAATACCTCATTGTGATAGGTTACTACTCCTTTTTATCTTTAGCAGGTTATAAACTGCAAACAAAATAAAACAATTTCCTAAACATATGGATAAGCTTTTGGTTCCCTTATCAGCCTAACCCTAGCCTCATAGTCACCAGATGTCTTCCTGTAAGCAAGAATTGTTTATATTTGTTTTCAGTACCTTAAAGTGCTCTCATCTCCTTAGAAATAAGTGCAGCAGAAAAACAAATAGTGTCCAGGATGGAAAGATACAGAGACCATCAAGTTCCGGCATTGGGCATGCAGAATACTCATGCAGCATTGCCTTGAGCAACACAATCTCTTTCAAGGACAGGTCTGAATTAAGTCTACCTCTATTTCCAAATAGGTTAATCTGGCTAACATGTTTGTCTCATAATGTAAACATAAAATAAAAAAAAAAAAGTCCTAGAAACAGTTATAATAACCTCTTACTGCTGCAATAAATTCCTGCTTAGTATGTGACCCTGATTCCTTTAGCTGCTTCTGATACCCTATTAAAGCTGTAGAATTGTGTAGAATTTGTTTTCTATTCCTGCATCATGCAGTACATTAACACTATCAGTCTAACACCTTGCTTTTTGCTCTTTGTTACTAATAGCTTGGGGTTTTGGTTATTTCATCAGATTTTCTTAGTACTGAGCCGCTCAAATCCATTCTCAGTTGCATCACTGTTGCTTTCTAACATTTCCAGTTAGTATACTTTAAACAATGTCAGAACAGCTGAGTCCTCCCCAAATTTGTTTAATTGTCTAGATCTGCCCAAAGTTTCGTTATCTGTGCTAGTCTGAACAGGCTGCAATGGAGCCAACAAGACAACACCTTAGCACCCAAACTACATCCTAGTTTAAACACACTGCGCTGCCTTTCTACTTGTTACCATATGACAAAATCTGTGCTGTTGCATTGTTTCCCTTATAGCTAGAAATAGAATATCTCAGCCATCACCTCCCCCACTCTTGTTGTAGGTGCATACCCCCCTAAGTGGCCAAGTGTCAGTATAAGGACAGTTACTTGCTCTTGATTTACAAGTTTTGCAATACCTTCTCTTCAATGCTCCATTTGCAGGCAAGACTGCAGTGATAGATGATGACAAAGCATCACGTTCTGTCATTTTTGAGATACTTCAGAATGTTGTTACGGGACAAACTGCTGCTGAGCCAACAGGGAAGAGATCAGATAACACTTCAGTGTACTGCGGCAAAACCAAAGTATTTATGGCTAATTCTGTGGTAAGCATGTTATTTCTTGGCTAACAGTTCTGCATTGAACTCAGACCTAGTGCTGCAAGCGTCCTCTCAGTTTCAGTTATGGCTTTCCCTGGCTTCAGCTGACACACTTGGCTACTCTTACGGGTCTAAGCAAATTATTTTTGACAAAAGCAGAGAAAGCACTTCTGGAAAGCTTGCACACTAAAGGGTATAGCCATAAAAGAACCCCCATTCAGTGGAGCTAGTTTTAAGCCAGCTGCTACTGTGACTTTGGTAGCTTCTGCTTTTTCCCCTCACAATACTGTTTTCCCCCCTCAGATACTTACACTTTTAATTTATATATATCTAAAAAGCATTAATGACACGCTGTCACTTCAAAAATGTAAGCAGTCTTGGGACACTGAAATGTGTGTGTAGGTTTCCAGCGAATAACAAATGACTGTAGAAGGGTTAAGAACATCTGTCCCTGACTATTAACTGCAGGCTTGTATCCCCATTGCAGCTAGAGCAACTTGAAGCTAAACGAGCAGAGGTGTTAAACAAGAAAGCATTTTGCATTCAGTGTTGCTGGAGAAGATTTAAACAGAAGAAACTTGAGAAGGAGAGAAGGTCTGCAACCCTCATCCAAGCAGGTAATTTGATGAGGGTGTGGCTGGGCATAATGCAGCAAGTAACATTTCAGCTACGCTGGGTACTTGAAGAATGGATATGCTAAGTGAGCATGGAGAAAGCTTAAGTGACTTCTCTCTTACACTGTGTGCAACAGAAGCTGAGATTCTTTGTACTCACATTTCTTTTAATTAAATCTTCAGCTATTCGTTCCTGGTTAGCCAAGAATCACTTCCAAAGGATGCGCAGGGCTGCTAATGTTATTAAGCATTGCTGGAGGAAATGGAGAGTAAGTACGTTGGTGCAGGGAAGCATTAAAATTGAGTGACTGATGCTTTGTACTGTTAGAGAAATAATCTACCGCTGTCAAGTAACTGTACAAAACCAATACTGACGGTTCTTCAGAAACTCTTCTCAAGCTGAAGTGTAGATGATGAATGCTTGCAGGGTGGCAGCTAGAGACTGCAGAATAAACTCATTCCTAATTATCTTTATAAAATGGGAAAGCATCCCAAAAGGTGTCCTATCCTTTATGATGGCCTATTTTTTAGGCTCTTAGCTTTGCAGTTTTAAATTTTGTTCAAGATGCTGGAGAATCTTGTTTAGCAATACTGTTCTGTGTCTCTTAATCAGGCAGAAATGGCTGCTTTGGCAGCAGCAGAACTGGATGAGGGTGAAGAAAAACCACTGTTCTCAGTTCCTGGCACTACAACGTCAGCCAAATCACCTTGCTCTTTGGAAACAACCTGGCCCCTACGTGCAGTAATTCAGTTCTGGCCTCTTGGCCTCGTCCTGGCTGCTGCGCCTGTTACCATAGCGGGACTCCGGAGAGACCTGTCCCTGCTGGCGTGCTTGAAAGTACTTCAGGAGAGCGACTGCTACAAGACAGAAAGCAGCTTCCTTGGCTGTGGCATTACTTCCATTAGAGCTCTTCCACAGGTAATGTACCTCACACCCTCAAGTCAGCAGCACACCTAAGCTCTCATGAGTTCAGGATCCCGTAACAGTATGGGCATGAAGTCTGCTGTCAGGCTCTGGTCTTCCTTTATCCACTGGGTTAGATATGCAAGCACGATGTTGACATCAACAGGTCAAGCCAGACACAGGACTGAAAAGAGACCTAAGCACGAAAGTGCTTGTTAATCTGTCATAGGAATAAATAGAACAAAGCTCTGCTTCAGAAACAGACAGGAAAGAATTCAAACGCGGGCTCTGCTGTTATGTTCTATGTATTTTTTTCTGCTTAGGGGAATTAAATTGGTACAAGAAAACACAGCAAGAAAATGTGCCCATATGGAGAAAGGCACTGCCAATCCCAGTAATTCTATGTTAACATCACCATGCAGATGACTGCACGCAGACTAATTAGGATGGAGGGTTTTTGGGGCAGAAGGCAGGGAACAACCCTCCAGTACTTCACCTCCTACTCACGTGCAAGACAGAATCAAAAACCATTTACTAGAAGCAAGCTACAGCCCACACCAGCTTCTCTGTGACGTTGCACTCCATTTAGAGATCAACTTGTCCCCATTTGTTAAATTTTTGAGCTTGCCTAAAATCATGCTTGCAAGAATATAACTTGTGCGTGGTCACAATTACTCTAAGTAGGAAGACGTAGTACCAACTAAATACTCAGATCTTGAGAGTTTAAGCTACCTTCAGTGCGAGTTGTGGTATTGATACTCTTCACAGTAATCACTGATCTTAAATCAGTTTGTAGGATACCCCTGCAGGTCTTCCTCTACCCTTAGTCATATTTAACAGTTGCTCGTGTACTTTGTGTACTAGGGCAGTAATCAGTCTGAATAACCAAACTAGCTCATAACCCTGCAAAGCATCAACTGACCTCTCCGCCTCTTTTCCTTCTAGGGCTCTGTCAAATTTCACTGTAAGAAGTCTCCCCTGCACTACGCAAATGTCAGTCCCCATACAGCTGCCTATTCTATCACTGGATTTAACCAGATTTTATTGGACAGAAAAGGACTCCTTCCAACCTAAGTTTTGGCCATCTGCACATACTGAACTTTTTCGTTCAGGGAAGGACTGCTGCAGGCTGCTGCTTTCAAATTACTCAACGTCCGTATCTGCTGCTACCTCAGAGCTTTCTATAGTGATGCATTGTATATATAATATAATATACTACAAATTCAGAACGCATGGGGGATATTCCTCCTCCCACACACGCACATATTAGAGGAAATAGCACTATGAGAACACTCAACATAATTAAACTAGATCAAGTGCTTTAAACAGTATATACTTGAACAGAACTCTTCTGGCACTACAGGGGCAGAGCAAGAGGCTGGTAATGAGATAGCAAAAAAGGCAAACCTTTCTGATGTGTGCTGCATTCTCGTTGGGAGGCACAGCTAGTCAGACTGATTGCACACATTCAGAAACCTGTGACTGAGGAAGTAGCAGTCAGCTGTAACACTAGAGGCAGACATCTCAGGGAAAAGCAACACTGGACTGTTTGCTTTTTATCTGTAGGACCAAAATATGAATAATCTCACAAGTGCCATGTGTTTCTAGCACTACTTAGCCATAGCTGAGGGGCCAAAGTTCTCCTTAGGGGTGCCAATACCATCCTTTTGTTGTGTACATGGGTCTTGAAAACATTCAGCTCTTCTGTGTAGGCCACTTTTAAATAAAACTGTTAACTATCTTGTGAAGGTGCCTGACTATCCATAACAAAGGTAACAAAAACATTTCACAACAGTTTGTCGACATTTATCTTAATCCACATATTTAATATAATCGTTATTGGGAAGCAGCATTTCCCATGGTTGACAGGATTTCTCTATCAAAAGATCGCACGTCCATG